CTTCTCTCTCTCTCTCTCTCCCACCCCCCCCGCGTCTCCCTCCCCATTCATCCCGGATGACATCGACGAATTCCGCGGGGCAACCTGCTGCCGCGGAGATGCCTCGGGGATTCGATTTCTATATGCAGGTGCTCGTTCGTTCTTTGGATCGATCGATAGATAGTGCAGAGCCGCAAGATCGGGACATGTTTCCCCTCCCCGTCCTGTGCCCGTTTGTACCCGAAAAGTAAAAGATCGTAGGAATTAATGAAACACGCATAAGTTTGAATAAATTTAATTTGCTCGAAGTCCGACTGTATTTCAACAGAAATGAATCCGCGATGGTGCGGTCTTTATCTCCGAGGACGCGGATTATCTCGTATCGAATTGAGAGTAAAATTTTACTCTTACGCGAACTCACGTTGTTGAATATCAAGTAATCGAACGTACATAGTTAGAATCGCCTTCGATACGTTTATTGATTACAACGAGACGCAAAATAAGACGAGTCCGATAATCTTCGATTTCGCGTCTTTTATCTTTCGAGTTATATTGCCTTCCGATAGAATTGCACGACGAAACGTGAACGGGGACACGCGGCGATCATGCTCCTCATAACGAGCCTAATTAAGCCCGTGCTCGGGCTCGTAAAGTTTCATGGCGAAATGAAGATGCATTATCGGCCAGTAATATGCAGTAAAAGCGCCTAATGATAACGCTGGTAGCGCAGCCTTCGTCAAGCGGGTTTATATCACATCGACTTGTACGACTTACCTTGATACTCTTATAAGTCTGACTCTAAATATTGCGAACAGATTTAACACATATTTCAAGAAGTCTTTTTCCTGAGACTTTACACCGTGTTTCTTAACTCAACGAAATTACATAGCTGGAATATAATTTTCAGGAGCTTTTTAATCCTTAAACGAAACACACGTGACGTCCCCCATGAAAAAGTATATATCCTAAAATATATTATATAATATTATATACCAATACTTATACGTTAATATATATAAATGTCTATATAAAATATAAGAATACGTATAACTAATTAAAGCATTTTTTGCCGCCTACGATATAGAACAAATATAAGAAAATACTATATATTTACATAAAATATGCTAAATATATTTTTAATACATAATCTAATATATAAAATAGATATATTAGAATATATCTAAAATATATGCCTGCATATATAAAATTAAATCATTTTTTGCCGTTTAAAATATATAGCAAATATAAGTAAAGAAGGTATATTTTTACTGTACTCAAGAATATATATACAAATATGTATATATATGCAATTTATATAATACATATATTTTTAAATATATTTTTTCATGGGGGGAGAGGATTACTTTACAAAAATAATTTTAGTTGGACGTATTCTACTCGAATAACAGAATTAAATAAGTTACTCTTGTCTACATTTAAATAAGTTACTCTTGTCTCAATACAGTAAGTAAATCTTTTTTAATTCGATAGAGGAGAATAAGAATTATTAATTTTATTTTGACGTTGTCTTATTTTTATACTAAATAAGGTTGTGAAAAATATAAACGCGCGTCAAGAATCTTTTTTGTCTCGTTAAAGAAATCCTTTCTGAGGGTGTAAAATGAAATAAAAGCCTAGTAAGGTCAAAATTCAAGGGAACTTTGTTCGATTTCCATGAAACTTTTGGTTTCGAATACGAGGCTACACTCTGGGTGTAGCTATGCAAATAGCTCTGAGAAAAGCACTCAAATATAAATCATTACACGACGTAAAATTTTAACAGCTCGTTACGTAAGAAAAATTTTAACAGCTCGCTCTGAATTATCTCCGAGACGGATGTTTTACTGTAATGAAAACTTCTCGTATTATCGCAGACTGCTGGGCCGCGGTTCCATGCACGTGTTCTCCAGCGAGCAATTTCAAAAGCTAATGGACGCGAGCGGCTTCACGGGTCCCTGGCATTCTTTGGTGGACCTCGGGGCAGGTGATGGCGCAACCACCGCCCACGTGGCGCATCTCTTCGAGAAGGTGTACGCCACGGATATCTCACCCCCCATGAGGTGGGCTCTGGCGAAGAGAAAGTTCACGTATGTAAATTTCGTCAAGTAGCAGAGCGCGTCTTTATTCTTCCATGTTCATAATTTTTACATGATACACATGAGAAAGTCTCGTGTCTACGCCCATACAGTAATCACGCGTTTCTAGAGAGATATAATGTCTCTGTAGCGACATTCCTAACTGGGTCCAATGGCATTTGACCACGTGCCATACGCCGACTAGAATCTGTTGATTGCACTTGAAAAGGGCGAAAACCCATGGCCGAAACGTTGCGTGAATAAAGGAAGTTTCCTGTTGTGTCGGATTCTTCGACCTATTTGTTATACATGAGAAAAATGTATTGTAACAACAGCATTAGTCTAATTGGAAACAGTCTTGTTAATTGAATACCAAGAGCCGTTTTAATAAAACCTTCGTCTCATTAATACCGTCATTAAATTAATAAGATTGTTTCCAATGAAACCTAATGCTGTCGATACATTTTTTGTCCATCCACGAAATCCTTACGAACGATTCACGAAGATTCGTTTAATGATTAAAACTGAACACACCGAGATCGGCCTCGAAAGCTCGTCGATTCCCGTATTTTCTCTTCACTATTTTTAGCGGGCATCTGGAATTCATGTGCAAAATGTGTGCGACGTGTAACTTAATTCGCCTAAAATTAGCATATTCGTAATCAAGAAACGGGAATATTTCTGAGAGCAACTGTTATTACGGTCATTGTATGCGCTTATGCAAAGGCGATTCGATCTGAATATTCCGAGAGGAATCTTTACTGGCTGGGCGGAAATTTTTCAACTGCAAAGCTCCCTTGCGAGCGCGCGGAGTCGCATATGCGAGAACGCGAAACAGATTACATTCTTTGAATCGAATACGTGCGGCCAAAGGTGGGCGGTGGAATCTTCGCTCCTTGAACGTGCATTTACATTTCCTCGTAACGGCGACACACGACTCGGTAGATTCGCGCGACACATTTTATCCTCATCACAGCTTAGAGCGCCGTATGCACGGCTTCCCTCGACGTGTTCAGTCCCGCGAGGAAATTACTTGAAATACCAGCGTTCATAAATTATCCGGCTTTATGAATTATAATAACAACTTCAATCAGTTCGGAATCGACCTTTTCATCGCGAAACTCGCCGGATCTAATCCATTTTCCTTCGCGTTGATCAAACGAATAATAATTATCTACGCGGGAAAACATGCTGTTGAATTAAAGAAAATGAAGTTGCTCGAATTAAACGTTAATGCCACGGGCTGCCACAAACATAAATAAATCACTTATAATAATTTTAAGCATTGAACTAAATATCCAGATTATTGAGACAACAATCTCATGTTTTTCATTTATTAATACTGATGTTGTTTCTGCGATTTTATTTCAATTACACTGATCTTGTTTGCACATCATTCTTTTTTCCGCGTACGAGAATAAATACGCTGAGAAAAAAGAAAAGGTACTGAGAAAAATGTCCGAGTACATCTAATCGGATAATCCGATTACATAATAACAAACGGATGTATCCGATAAAAATTACGATCGGTTATCAAATTTCATCGGTAACTTTATCTAATACGGGGTGTCCAGTGGTCAGGGAAATGTGGAAAACCGGGAATTGTCAGGGAATTTTAGAAATCTGGAAATGTCAGGGAAAAGTCAAGAAAAGTTCAAGAGATGAACCATCGGAAACGCTGCTTAATTGGTTTATCCTGATGGAAATTTTTCTCGGTGTATCGAATTTATGCAAATCAACGTAACCGCGAATCAGATCCATAGATCGGGCGAATGCGGGCGCGGTTCGCGGTTACTCGATACGGATCCTCGATAATATAAGCGCGCGCAATTACGCGCGCCGTTCCCGGGCGAATTGAGAGGCCATCACGGGCGGTGTTATTACGGTTATCTCAAAAACGTGGGCTTCATTATAAAGTGAGATAAGATAATTGATCGGCCGGGGCCGGCCGGCCGGCCGGCCGGTCCCGTCGCGCGCGCGTTCGCGCCGCCCGACCGGCCGCGACGGCGGACGATGTATAAACCCCGGCACTTGTCGACGCTCGTGTCGATACGTAATATTCTCAACACGATGCGCCACTAACAAGTTTATTGCGCCGAATTGATTGGAGTAGAAGTTTACGGTGGTTTTACACCCGGAGCGGAGCGTCTCCGCCGCGGACGCCGCTATCGGGACACGCCCGGCCCCCGAGTTGCTCTCAGCGCGCCGGGTCGCCGCTCGAATTTTAAATGAGCGTCCGTGGGGCGCGCGACGGACCCCGTAACTCGTTTTGTACAACTCCGACTATCCCCGGGTACCCACCGTTCCGCCCCGCGCAATATTCGCCTTAGTAGATGTCTGCGCTCTCCCGCCGCCCGCGCCTTCGAAAAACTATTTTGCCAAAAAGAGAAGTCGCGGTTCGGCTTTCGCCACGTGCACCTGTTACCGAACACACGCGACGTTTTGTAGATCTCGGATCGTCACCGGGGAATTTCTCTCTGCGCGAGCTTATCGACCTTTTTTTTCTATAATAGACTGTCACTCGTGGGACAATTTATGAAATTAAAACTCAAGCTGGTATCGGTGAAAAAATTAATTTCGAATGATCATGATTGATGAATTTCTATGTGTATCTGTTATCGAACATTCTTTACACCCTCTGTGCCCTTTTTACATTTGTATATCCTCTTGAAACAAAGTCAAAATAATAGTAGAGTATGAAAAGCCAGACATATAAGAATTGGAAATATCCGAATAACGTACAAGATAGAGGAAAAGCTTTTCCCGAACACGTCTTTAGTTGTTGGCCTCTTCGCAGGGTGCTGGACGTGGAGAGATGGCACCAGGAGGCCAGTCCTTACAACGTGATCCTCTGCCTGAACCTTCTCGACCGCTGCGACCGTCCAAACACCCTGTTGAGGCTGCTGAGGACCTCGCTTGCTCCCGGCGGCAGGCTGATCGTCGCCCTGGTGCTGCCGTTCAGCCCCTACGTCGAGGTCGGTGAGAGGGGTAACCACAAGCCGTCGGAGTACCTACCGGTGCGAGGGAACGGGCTCGAGATTCAGATAGCCAGTCTGATCGACCGGGTCTTCGCCCCGGTGGGTCTGCGATGCCTCGTCTGGAGCAAACTGCCGTATCTGTGCGAGGGCGATCTGGGACAGTCGTATTACTTCCTAGATGACGTGATCTTCGTGCTGGAGGCGCAGCCGGTTAGCACACGGTCCTGCGAGTTCACGGAAAACGACGGTGTCTCGCTGCGAAGGGACTTTTAGGGTTCGGCGCCAGGCGGGCTGTGTACAGTGTACTTACGGAACGGCTAACAGGGGATAGAGAGGAAGCGTGAGAAAGTGATACCAGGCATGTCTTTCACACTTGTAAAAACTTTAATAATTGCTGTCATGAGTTAGAATTATGCGAGAATACAGAAGAGCAATACTGGCAAGCGACGACGAGCTTAATGTGCAGACACAGCGGTTAGCGTTTGGTGTACGAATATCAATTACCGATCCGAGTTTAAAAAGGGAACGACGGATCGACAACGGTGCGCATTTTACAATCGTTTATCATCTTACTGTCGAATTCGGTGCGGAAACATGTACACGGTCTCTATGGTATAGATATGGCGCGAGAGTAACGAGATCCGGAAACGAAATCTGCCCTTTTTCTGCCCCCCCCCCTTTCCTGGTGTGCTCGATCCCGCTCGAGAGAACGTCCCTCTAGAATCAAATCTTATCTAATTATCTAAACTAGAAATCAACGGACGGTATACAAAGGAGAATATTAAACTAATGCACATTGTGGCGTCAGTTGCAGCAACTGCGGTAATAAAATCGCAAAACGAATAATGGAAAAACGAACGTTTTAAACTTTAACGATAATTTTAATCTATAACACATAAATATACGGCGATGCCGTCGTTAACGAAATACAACGAATGTCAAGCGGAGGATGAAGAAGCTTAAAGCAGTGCTGCAACTTTTGCCTTAAACAAACATAAACGCACAAACTCCTCAACATATTCCGAACAATTGTGCTGTGGTATTCAAATCGATAGGGTAAGATTTATCTCGGACGTAGCCCCTAACGTGTTTCGAAATTCTACTTTGGTACATTTGGTCAACTCCTTTCCCCGCCAGACTCTGTTTCCGCGCTCCCTTTTCTCTATTTGGCATAAGTTGCAACGACTTAGTCATGGATATGCTTAATTGCGTTGATCACACGGACCGACCAATCGAGATACAAACGACATTGCGTTTGCATTTTTGATAATTATACGTAATATTATAAGAAATAAGTCCACCTAGTTATTGGAAATACACTTTGGTGTGCAACAAGTTATCGTCGAATTATGAACCATATTGCAGCAGCCTTCTTGTCAATATATATATATATTATATATGTATGTCAACAAAAACGCAGTCTATAGAAGCCGGATCTGCATTCATTTAAACGGCTATAATAGCCGTGAAAAACAAATAAAGAATCACTGTCGAAAATTATTCTCCAGCCTTGTTAATCGTCATCGGATTTCCGCATGTTTCCCACAATTCGAACACAATAGAATACCGAACGGAACATACATATGATGCTTAATAACATGAAAAAGTAGATCGATTGTCGATTTGAAAGTATATGGATTTATTTCAACAAAAAAACTGCTTTAGAGCCTACAAATAATTGACGCGTAGTTTACCGAGTTAAAAAAAGTATGGAAAATTGATGGAAAAATATTAAACTACTAAGATCCAGTTCGATCAAAAGTGATATTTTCTCCAATTATTTGTATTACAGAATAGAGGAAAACAATACAGAACGAAAGAAAAGAAACTATATTAAAGAGAGCAATAACACATGTATCGAAAAAAAGTTGACATCAAAAGATATTGGTTATTGAGAATATCGATAACAACGAAGTCGCTTCAGTGAAACGCGTACTCCCTCTCCAACCTTCGGTTGGCAGCAGTCGGGAGTAAAAAGGAAGAGAACAGAACAAAAGAAAGTAACAATTCGCACGTCTTTCGAATCATGGATCCGACTCCTAAATGGTAATCGATCGGCACATTCGCTGCATATGTGTAGTAAATAATAACAGATACATGTATAGAAAGACATCTTCAATATACGCGCATTCATATAAAATTTTGCTATTTGATAGCCAAAACTTCGCATTCTTGCCGACACATACACACAGCCCACAAAACAGAGCCCCACGCATTCGAGTGTCGCGCGCGATCTTGCATTCGCGACGTACACGGCATTTATCGCTTACATCCAAAGACGAACGCCTTGTAACTTTATCGAGAAAGAAGGAAACACTTTATCATACCGCTTATATGCGCATATAACAACCGAGTAGGAAACGGTTTTACTCCTGCAACCGATACGATATGCCGTTTGCCCGAGGAAGCGTTCGATCGAAACCACAAACGCAATTTCCTCTTAATTTACAGTTTCTCTCGCAAGAGTAAAAACGTTTCTGCGTAATAATACTTAGTGCACGATGAAGTCTTTGAGCGTCCCAGTGCGAACCACACCCCCTTATAAGAGTTCCTCGTAACAATTTCGTTCTTTTTTTCTTTTCTACGTATATATTAAGAAATAATTTGATTTTTAAAAAATACCTATATGAATTGACCAATGATTTTTTTTTACGTGCACACCGCATACACTGCCCATGGAGCTTATTAGAAATCTTCTAACATATACAAATCTTTCAACGTATGCTTGTTTAACGAACAGCAGTAGAAATAACAATTATATATGTTCATCTCATCCTTAAAAGTAAATAATAACGCATATATAAAGCTTTTTAAAGGAAATATGTATACGTGTATACATGCAAAATTGTGTACATAAGTTGAACACAGTAATTACTTTGCTAATTGAATAACTCGATTCATATTAATTCACAGTTCTAAGAAAGAATATACTATATTCAACAAACAAGTTAAAAACAAAATAACGAGTCCAATAATAGAGAAAATTGTCAACTCTTCCTTTATGCAGCTATGCCGCGAATGCTGAAGTAGCAATCGATTAGTAGCAAGAGCTTTTGTACCAGATCAATTTAGTCTTTGCTTCTCATTTCGACTTAAGTTTTACACGCCTACCTAACAGTTTTATACATATAAAAGAAAACCTTATATGATATTAATCAGGTAGTAATCATTGGAACACAAACGGCAAATTATTAAATCGATACGGTAAATATAAATGCTATTCATACCGAATATTATTTCATTTACGTAATTGCAACTCGGTCGTTGAGTTTTCGGTATATAATCGCAGGATCAATCGATAGATTATTTGTCGAATAAGCACCATAGGCAGCTCGAGAGCAATGACAATGTGAAATCAAATTACGGCGATGAAATAAAGCTAGTAAGAATCCCTAAGATGACGCGGTGTGAGTTTAGCCCTACATATAAATCTTTTTGTTTCACGCTACCCACGTTTATCACAGTCCACGCATGACTCATTTTGTCTCTTAGTATTTGAAGTCCTAAACGCCAACAACTTTTTTGAGCAATCCATCGGGTTGTTTAGATACGAAACACCCAGCTAATCAATAAACATCTTGTGACTAGAACATCATAGAGCGCAAAAAGACGAAACTTGGTCTGTCGCGAGTAAAGCGAACACGACGGTTAGTCTAGCTTACGCTGCTCGCATAATTCCTCCATTGCGCCAGCTTTTCTGTTAAAGAACAATGGAATATATATATATACGTAGTGATAGAAATACACATTAGAGTTGAAGATAGTGGTAAAATTACTTACAACGTTGACAGGTAAGGGGTACCAGTGTGATCTAATCGGTGTTTATCTTCGTTTTTCCAGCTCGAGACTGGTATGTGCGGAGGCGGCAAGAAGCTTCTCAACGATTGTACAAGCTGTATTGTATCGACCAATGCTGCAATTGCGAATGAGCAACGTGAAAATCATTGTACACTATACTTTGAGAGAGAGTGAATTCGTAAAACACCTTAAATGCAATAAATTCATTTAGGGAGAAAACTAGGAAAAACAGATAAAATGGAGAATTTATACTTTTTTGCAGGGCCTCGGACTGTTTGCCGTATGGCTTGCACATCGCCGGCCGTACGCAAGCTTTCATTCTCGCCATGTTCTTCATCACTTCCGCAAAAGCGCGCACAATCTTCTCTTGACCACCTAAAGAATAGATTCGTGCGTTTGTAAATTTAATTAAAAAAAACGTGCTTATCACTATGCCGCGCGTGTACCGCGTGTTCTTAATAACCTTCCGAATTTGAAGATGATGACCGGGATCCCTTTTCACCTTCTAAAGGCCATGCGCCGTTGTGCAGCGCCAACAGGTCCTTGTTGGCGTTCCCTAATCCTTGTAAGTTTCCTAAACCAAGAGAAGCGAGATTGTCCAAGTTGTCCAGATTGGTGCGTAAAAAGTCCGTCAACTTGTGATCGGAGATCGGTATATTTGGTATTAGAGATTCGTAATGCTGCTTGCCGGATGGCACTTTTTTCTCTTGCGACACAGGCCGATGCGGAATATTTAATGACGGACGGCTTGGAGGACGTTGAAGATTCAATTGGTTGCCAGCACCCCTCATCTCCGATAAATCCGCAGTGGATCCTCCTCCCAGGTGTGTGTTCGGATTAGCGCTGCTTAGGCTCTGCAGAGAGAACAAACATATAGCAAGGTGTCAAATTAATAAACTCGGCTTGCGTAATAGCGAACGACAGGTAGGAGGTGTCGTATAAAGAGTTCGCTCACTGCCTGGAAATCTGCGCTATGTGGGAAACCGGTGCGCAGAAGGGACGCGGTCGCCTCGTTATCTTGGATGTAAGTCGGCGCCATGTGGCCCATCTTCTGAGTGAGCTCCAGCTGATTTTTGTAATAGCGACAAGCGGGATTGGGGCAGTTTTGCACGACCTCTATGATAAATTCCTTCTCCATCCCAAAGCACTCTCTGCCGATGGTGTAGGACTCCATGACCGCTCTGACCGTACCCTCCAGGCCCAGGTGTAAGCCGTGCGGTCCATTCATGTGCTTCAACATGACGGCGTTGGCGAAGTGTTCGTAGGGTAGTATTATCTTGCCGTTCTCTCGTAGGACTAGCCTGCCCTGCGAATCCAGTGCGACTCTCGACGCCATCATCCTGCGAACGTAACAAGCGCGGTGAGTACTTCGCAACGGGCACAAATGCGTGCTCGACGCGTAAAACAACGTTTGTCCTCACTGTAAATAAGCGGCGCTTGGCATCATGGACGCATCCTTGAATTCCGAGAAGCACTGCAGTAGCTCGATACCGGGATTCCATCCTTTATTTTGTAAATACGCTTGTAACAACATGTACATCTTCTCCGTGACGTAGCCGGCGCCGCTCGGTGACGCAGAGTAGCCTGATCCTCCGCCCGGCGGACCCATTTCGGTTTGCATACCTTTGGCAACAATGTTCTTCATAGTTTCCGCCAGGTCCATTCTGCATGCATATAACTGGACATGAATCTCCCAACGCGACGAGATAAACGAATCAAGTCTCCCTGCACACGCAAGGATCTATCCGGTACACAGAAACGTGGTGTACTCGATCGGATACATCGGAGAGACGCGAAAGGACTAGTCGCCGATTATTTGTACAACGTATACGGAGAACGAGAAAGGAAAAGGCACAAACCGACGCCGGCGATCGATACGCATCGCGACAAGTCTCGTTGACCCGTTATCGCGGTCGACTCCGCGGCTCCGGGACGAATCGCCGTCGAGCTCCGACCGGTCGGGCGCGACCGGGAAGGCGCGCCATCGTCCGTCCGCCCATCCGGGCACGGCGTCGGTGACGACGGAGCGTCGCGTCACCGCGTCCGTCGGCACCGACGGCGAGCGCCGGGAGGCGAGCGCGCGCCGCTCGCCGCTCTCTCGCCACCGGCCATTGTTATCGCCGGCGGAACCGATAAAAAAAAGTGGCCGGCCGCGTGCGATCGAGCGAGCGAGCGAGCCGAGCGGGCGAGCCACCGCCCCCCTTTCCGACACGCGCAGGGGGGACCAGACCGCCGTAACGCGGAACGTACGTTACTCTCCCGGACCCGTGCACACTCACCCCGTGCCGCGGCCGCCGCTTGCTCCACTCCACTCGCGGCGTAGCCGGGTAGCCCCAGGAGCCCGTCCGTCGCCGTCAGTCCCCGCCGCTCGGCATCGCCTTAATTAATTAAAGCCCCGGGATCACATTTGCAAATAACATAAATCGCGATAATTATTTCCGCGAGGGTCACTTGCACGGGCCGCCGCCAGGGGCGCGCCGCGCTCTACGCGCTTTTCGGCCGCGCGCACACGTGTGTGCGTGCGCGGGTGCGTGTGTGCGTCCCGCGGCGGCCACGTGCGTGTGCACCGACACGCGCGCACCCGCGCGTACGTACGTGCGCGCGCACCCGTGCGTGCGCGTGTGTGTGCGCGCCTCCTCCGCGGGCGGCCCGGCTGCGCTTACGCGACGCCACTTTGCGCATTTATCAATATTACTTTTTGCAATTGATATATTACGCCGCCTCGCGGCACGCCGCGGCGCGCGCTCGACGGCGAATTAGACCGACGACCGGCGGCGCCGGGCCGCCCGCGCTCGACGCGACGCCGAATGTCGCGCGCGATCGTTGAACCGAGCCGCGAGCGAACGCGCCGGCCGCCGGCGTGGCCGGCGTTCTCGGCGCAAGGCCGGGCGTATTATCGTGCGTTAACCCTCCCGGGAAGCGTCCGCGCGCTCTTCCGCCCCGCTGCTCTCTTATCGGGGAGAGATCGTCCGACTTTCCCGCGACGCGTCTCCTCCGAAGAAGGAGATTAGCGCGCCGGCTTTGGCGCACTTTACCTCCGATTACGTACGACGTTACGTTTACGCCAGAGCTCGCGCGCTATCTGCGTTCACGCTCGCGTCTTTGTCGTAAGCTGTTACGTCGCTTCGCGCTCTGAGCCATAAGACCCGGTGGTCGATTCTGTATCTTGCACCATAGCATGAAAATGCTAAAAGTAGCCTCGTCTTTCGAACTGTCCCCTTAAAAAGAGACAGGGTCGCTCACTTTTAGCAGTTTCACTATGCTGCAAGATACCGAATCGACCCCCTGAGCAGAATGGCTTATATACCCTTAAGTCAGCCTTATAAGACAATGTTTTATGTTTTAAGCCTTTGTCTTGAGGTAACGCACAATATACAGCACACAGATGTTGAATCAACATCTCAGAAATGTTCATTGCAACATTGCAATATTGCATCAATGTTACGAAACGTAGATTCAACGTTGAACAGATATTGCAGAAACGTCTAATGTACATTGATGCTTTATGTTGCTGCAACGTTAAAACAATTTGTTCAAGATTGTTTTAACGTTGCAGCGACATAAAGCATCAATGTACAAACATTAACCTAGATTCAACGTAGAAAAGATATTTATACTTCAACATTCAACATTGCAGCGTTTCAGCAGCATTATTTTAACTTTCTGTGCTGCATGGGACATGAATTAAACTAAGACTTAAGCCCGTATCAGACTACGGATTGAGATTGGGATTAGATTGAAATTTGACCAACCAGAGTAAAAGTTACTGAACTTGAGATTAGTAAACTTTACTGTGATTGGTTAAATTTCAATCTAATCCCAATCCCAATCCGTAGTCTGACACGGGCTTAAAGTTAAGCAACGTTCGGTGAAACTGGGCCTAAGCAGGCGTATTGGCTAGGTAAGAGGAGGCGGCGTCCACCTTACAATATTGGGACCAGTGTTGAGAATGTTAGATTTAGAGGAAAGTTCCCTTTTATGAGACAGCAGGTTTTCAACGTCCGAATCCAATCGCAAATCTGTTTCCGCGACGATTACGCGATCATACCAATGAATTTTCCACTAGACAAATTTCACTTCATGGTGGAGCCAATAAACGATGTCTATTAATTTAGCAGAAAACCCACTGTCTCATATTAATATCCTGCTTCATACTGCGGGACTTTCCTCCGCACATTTCCCAATATTGCGCCAATATATTGCGCCACTAGGGAAGCGACGTAGGCGAAACCGGATCTAATTCGTAAAACCAGAAAAAGATACTGTATAAAGCAAGTCGAACCGAGATTAAAGTTAAGCTGCGTTGGTAGAAACGGGCGCAATACTTTTATTTGCCTTAACAAAATAACACAAGTGCCACAGCTGGACAACGTCGACGGTTACGTAACATCAATTCCCACTCGACAACGTGTTTGACTGTTCTGTACGGTGCATGCTGTATTATATTTACATTGCCGAGTGGGAACTTGTAATGTCGTTGTTACGTAACTATTAGTTGGCATTCATTTGGGAATTAATAACCGATTAAATCAATCGGAGCTCGGGCGAATAAGCTCAGCCCGCAGTCGGGCTGCGCACGAACGTTCGCGTCTTATTAGCTTGCTAATTAATAACACGCGTAATTGACTTAATTAACGCGCGGGCGTTAAATATATTTAGCGCGTCATCGTCAAGTAGCTCGGCAGTTACGGGAGCGGGGCTACGCGACACGGAGCCAATCGATAAAACACCGAAAGTACTGAAATAGTTGGCCGCGCGCGACGCGGCCGGCGCGCATGGGATTAAAACTCGCGACGGCGAGGCCGGCGCGAGTGTCTCCATTTTTAGCGCAACGAGGTCCGAGTCGTGGGCAGCGCGCACCCGGAGATCAATCCAATCCAACGCGCGCGCCGCGTAGAGCGACTCTCTCTCTCTCTCTCTCTTTCTCCCCGGCGCACAGGTGAAACGCGTGGCTTTCGAAAATTTAAATCGCACGCGCGTGCAACGCGGGGGAAAGCGCGCACTGATGCCAACCGCGCGCGCGCGCGCGCACGCGTGCGGCCGCGAGGTTCCCCAAATAGTGTAAACATGGCCTCGCGGTACAGTCACGGTGTCCAGCGAGTTCTAGCGAAATTGGAGGCCTCGATAAATTCCGAAAACTATTATGAGGCCCATCAGATGTATCGAACTTTGTATTTCAGGTGAGAGTCGGCCGGGCCGGCCGCCCGGCGCTGCCGCACCCCGAAAAAACCTCCGCCCGTCTCTCTAACCTCCTCCTCCTGCGCTTACAGATACCTCGGCCAGAGAAAATACTCAGAACTCCTGGAATTGCTGTACAACGGCTCGATGCTTCTGTTACAGCACGAACAGGTACGCGTAAACGTCCGTCGCGTGCGCCGGATTTTCCTGCGTCCCTCGAAACGATTCTCGTCATTTCTCCCGGGACGAACCGTGCGCCGAGAGCTCCGTACTGTCCGCACGACTCTCCATGTGACTCGTAATTAATGACTCGTTCGTTTCTTGCAGCACGCAAGCGGAGCCGACTTAGGAATTCTATTTGTCAATGTTTTAACGCAATCTGGAACGGTGCCGGCGCAGGGCTTCTTCGAGAAGATCACGAGCTTGTTTAGTTTAATGAGCGCCACGTCACCGGAAAGGGAGGTGTTCGTGCAGTCGGCGCTTAAGTGGAGTGTCAAGGGCACGGATTACAAGACTGGCCATCCAGATTTGCACCAGAAGATAGCTCAGGTCTTTTGGAGAGGTAATCTTGCGGGGGGGGGGGGGATTTTATTGTGTAATTTGTTTTGGACGCACTGTACGTAACAGATCTACTTTCCGATCAGAAAAGAATTACATAATGGCGAGGCAACACTTTATACATAGTAGAGATGGTTCCGGATGCGCTGCAATGCTGGTCGAACTCCACGAGCAGCGTGGATATATGAATGAAATAGATCTCTTCATAGCTCAAGCAGTCTTACAGTAAGTTGACTTGACTCTCAATTTTAACGTCGGAAATGTTCAAAATATTGCATCAAGAAGAAACAAGTTGTGATATAACAGATTCGGAGGTCAAGGAGTATTAAAATTATTTCAGATCTTTATATTTAAGCTAACGGCGCGCGATACTAATTTTTTCTACTGGATTGCTTTCGAGAACCAATAAGGCTGCAGAGTTTTAGATCCAGCGACTTGGGGCTAAATCCTGACTGGCTCTCGTAAGCAATCCAGTAGGGAAAACAGTATCGCGTGCCGTTTGCTTTAATTTGTATACGAGATAACTTAATTACACATGATCGATTTCAGGTATCTTTGTTTGCAAAACAAAGCAACGGCACAAGAGGCCTTCAATTCTTATACTTCAAGGCACCCGAAAATAAATAGCGGCCCGCCATATCTTCTTCCTTTATTAAATTTTTTGTTTTTCCTACTCAAAACCATCGACAGGTACGTCATACAATGCGAGAGATACATTACCGATTACATAAGTACGTCCTTCATGTCCCTCCGATCTGATGTGTGTTCGCAGTGGTAAACTAGCAGTGTTCACAATTCTCTGTGAGCAGTACCAGATATCTCTAAACAGAGATCCATGTTATCGACAGTACTTAGATAAAATAGGCCAACTTTTTTTCAATATCCCGCCTCCGCGCCCACGTAATCAGGGATTGTTCGGCTCGTTGTTGCAATCTTTCTTCAATGGCCTGGAGGACGACGACTCGGACGACGAGCAACGAAATACAGCCTCAACGTCGCACGCCGCGCAAGAACTTGATTGATTAAAGGTGAGGCAACACTGTGCAGTGTGATGCTGAATACCGAACTTTTAATATATTATTCTTCGACCCAAATACTTTCATTGACTGCACCTGTGTTAACCGACAATGAAACCTGAAATTGTGAACGTTACGTTTACGACCAAAAAAAAGCTGAAGGAATTACTGCCATTCGAAGAAACAGTAATTCCGAACTGTGTAGAGCCCTGAGAGTGCGTGGGACGACTTACGGGAATTTATCAAAGTTGTAAGTTATGTACTGAATTCACAATAGTAGAATTCATAGGCGTGTCTTATTATTTTATACATATATGTATAATATTTTCTATGCTCTTTTTAGCCAAATAAGATTTGTATAAAAACGCGACGCATGCTTCTGAATAAAAAGTCTTGATCAAGTAATATTTAAAACACAATGATTGTCAATTTATGTGCAAAAATTCGTATGAGTACGAATTGAGTTTGTAATCAATATCTTCATCCTCTACATATACATATATGCTGTTATGAATTCAGCAATTATACTTGGACTTTGAATAAAATCCTCGCCATTAGCTACGACCTGTATACCGTGCATATAACCACATGAATATGTATGCGTGTAAAACTGCTGGATCGAAAATTTATTTTATATAAAAACTAAAACTGCGTGTGGACAAATAAATGTGACATAATTGTAGCTTCCGAAAAAAAGAATGCTTACCGAGACTGCTTGTTGCCGTGGCATCGAGAAAGAGAATTTTACTCGGAGCAACGAGCGATATATTTATTTATTGGATTCTATATTGATATGAGTAATCGTTTAAACCAATAGAGAAAAAAGAAATTCATATATTTAACTAAGGAGATAAAACGACCATCGCACCGCGTAATAAAAATCTTCACAGCATTAACTAATAAAGGTAATATAATATCGCTGTGCATTAAAATGAAAACGAAACCATAGACAACATTTGATTAATAAATTTAGCTTTGTAATAAATATATCTCTCTAGAATATATGTAAGTGTATTGAGTATCCTTCATTATACTTCATTGTTTATTACGTTGTCAGAATTATTTAATGCAAAATTGTTATCTTAATATATGATAATTATCATTATAACTGATGACTTGCATTATCGACATGATCGAAAAATTCTACATTTTAAAATTAATTTTTTGTTAAAAAAATTAATGTTTATTATAATTAGGTGAAAATGAGGTAATATTAATTATCTGGTTGATATTATTACTTTGGAACGTGTATGTATGGAATTAGTTCTTTTGGAGATTTCTCTTAGTTATTATAATTTGTATAAATTACTTTAAAAAAAATAATAATAACAAATAATGATTGCTCGATATATTATTCTAATAGCAACTCCTCCTTCGTGTATCCGCTAAAAATACCTAATTTAATCGCAGTATGTGAGCTGAGTGAAACGTACAGATATGCCTCTGTCATCATGTTCCTAATTAAAATTACTATTTCACAATACAGTGGATTTTCTCGATACTCGTAACACTTATTCCTAAATCTCTATTTCGTATCACGAAATATTTTTTATCTCGGTAAATATTCATGCGATTTTATGTTGGAAACGCCAAACAGAAACGATAAGTGCGTTAAAATTTCCACGAATATGATCAATACGAAGACAATGTATGTTATAAGGAAATGACACGATAAGTGATTATAAACAATTACAAGTGATATGTTAAGTGAAATACAACAAAGTCAGTGAAAAAGAATAATGATAAATTAGAAAGAGTTCAAAATTTATTTCATGTTCAATGTTATGTTGTACAAATAAAAATACGATACATGTCGTGCGTGTGCGTGTGTGTTGTGTGTGTGTGTGTGCATGTATGCGTGTTTGCGCGTGCGTATTAATTGTATTTATATGAAAATGGTGTTTGATCGATTACGCTAATTATCAATTAAATTAATCAATTTGGTCACAATCACCCTTGTTACGTACAAATCCGAACGTTTGTACCCAGCTTATGTTAATTAATTTAATTAGCGCAGTATGAAATGTAGTTAGCGCATTGTTGTGAGTATCGAGAGCAACTTAATAGAGCGAATGTCATGTGAACCCAATTGATAAAACGTCAAAAGCGTTGAAATGGTTGACCCGTGACTACCACGCATGAACGCGATGATTGTCCACTTTGAGCTTTGCAACTCGCGATTTTGTAAATTCGAAGAGAAGAGGAGGGGAGGTGGACAGACATTTTCTTATCGATACCCCACAATTACGATTTCGTCAATCGACCTATAGTATGGATCCTTCATATGCGTGATCCTTTATACTTTATTCGTAAACGAAACACGATTCTAAAAGATAAATCCGCCAACTGTGAGTCCACATACTCGCACAAGGAGTGCGTCACTTTAAACGACAAATAATATTTAAATTATTGAAAATAATAAAAAACTTTTATCGCTAAATAAATAACAGTTTATAATTAGCAAGTCAGAAAATACATCTGATTATTACAATCGTCTTAAAAGAATTTTGGGAGAAATTTTACGATACAATTATTTTTTGCCTGCTATATAACGAATTTATTGTTCCATTAGAAAAAAAAATTACATAGCATTAAGGCAACTCCTCTATTCATAATAGAAATGATTCTGAATGTGCCGCGTTGTTGAATTTTGCATGCATTTGAAGATACATAAATAGTACAAATATTTTCGTAGAAAAATATAACAATACTTTAAGAAACCTATAATTAACGGCAAAGTGAAAATTTGAGTTGAAATATTTAAATTTACAAATTGAACCAAGTATGCTTCGTGCTTAATATGTTTCGTAACCAGGAAGCGAAAATTGCCTCGAGAAAGTTTCCACTTCTTTCTTCAAAGCTGCTACCTTTGCTATAATAGTCTTATCGGTACTTAATACTCTCTTGAAGTCAACCAGCTTCGGTCCGGAAATAGCACTCACCTCCTTAGAAAGTTTCAGTCCTAGAAAGAAAATAGTATTAAGTTTATTATTAATCTCATTGTATGATATACGTATTTAAGTTATAATGTTTGATTCGTTGGCGCTCAGAAGCTATTTCTCATGTTATAAAAATGTCGCAAATAACAAACATAAATCCACCATAGCAATCTTTGATGATTCAGCGATCGAAGCCACTGAGCGCTAACGAATTCTTATGAATTACTTATAATACCTTTGTCTATGAAGTCCGCAACTTTATCGATGTCTTTCTCGACAAAGCCACGTGTGGTGAGCGCGGGCGTTCCTAAACGGATACCACTAGGATTCAGTGCACTTTTGTCACCGGGTACAGTGTTCTTATTACAAGCGATAGCAATGTCTTCCAAGACCTTCTCTGCCTTCGAGCCGGTTAAACCCACAGATCGTAGATCTACCAACAGCATATGGACGTCCGTGCCGTTGGTACTGATGCTGTAGCCGTGCTCTTGCAAACCAGCGCACAATCTCTTCGCGTTAGCCACGATTTGCTTCTGATACTGGACGAATTCCGGTGTCTTCACCTGTTTCATAGTGGTAGCTATAGCGGCGATAGCGTGATTATGAGGTCCGCCTTGAAGACCCGGAAAGACCGCTTGATTTATTCCGTTCTCGATGTCGTACATGACCTTCGTGCCGTCCGCCGTGACGCTCCGGACGCCCTTCCGGAAGAAAATAACACCAGCGCGCGGACCTCTGTGGAATTAAACATAGAAGATATGTCTCGCCATTGTTTTAATCATAAGAGATACGCTCGCAATTATTAAGAAATGACACCGTACCGTAAAGTTTTATGCGTAGTCGTCGAGACAACGTCACTGTATTCGAAAGGACTGGGTATCAAGCCGGCAGCGACCAGCCCGGAAACGTGAGCCATGTCGCTGAAGAGATAGGCGTTGTTGTTGTCGGCGATTTCGCGAAAACGCTTGTAGTTGAGGCACCTGCTGTAGCAGGAGACTCCGGCGATGATAACTCTCGGTTTAAACAATTTCGCGTGTCTCGCGAGTTGGTCGTAGTCGATGAGGCCGCTGACGGGGTCAACCTTGTACGGCATCGACTCGAAGAAGATGGACGTGGCGGAGATCTTCTTGGACGCCGTGAAGAAGCCTGTGGCGTACAAATGCAGTTTAAACGGAACCGTGCCTGGCACGTGTACGCACGTGCAGCTCTCTTGGAATTGTTCGCGCTTACCGTGAGTGAGATGTCCGCCGTCCGGTAGATCCAGACCCATTATGCGTTCGTGAGGCTTCAGCAGGCCCGTGTACACCGCGAAATTCGCCGGACTTCCCGAATAGGGTTGCACGTTGCAGCCCCATTCCTCGGGATTCAGATTGAAGGCCTCCAGTGCGCGCCTCTGCGCCAGCAATTCAATCTCGTCGATGAATTCATTTCCACCGTAGTACCTGCGGGCGTAACAACAATGGAAAAGCCGATCATTATTGAACGAGCGAACGCTCGTCAGTGTATAAGAGCACGGTATGAAAGAGCAATCGCGACACACGCGATCTCACCTTTGCCCGGGCAACCCTTCGCTGTACTTGTTGTGCAAACACGAGCCCAGGCACTGAAGTACACTGAGAGACGTGAAGTTTTCACTCGCGATCAGCTCCAGCCCGGAGCTCTGCCGTTCCTTCTCCTTCTTTATCAGGTCGAAGAGCTCGGGATCGCTGTCCCAAACATTCTCACGGAGTATCGCCGCCATGCTCTGTCGACAGTCGTAACAATCTTCAATTTCTATCCTCTATAATCTTAATCGTTTATACATTGTAATAATAAATATAACTTAACATTTTAATTATAGCCATTTGTATAACTAATGTCTACTGTTACACCCGTGAAAAATTGTAAAGTTACTTAACAACTTTCACAGGTGTAGTAAACTAAATAATGTAACGCCAGGCTACCGGACCTTTTGCAAAATATTTTTCTTCTCGAGCCGACGATCCTTATTTTTTTTTATTATTATATTACTATTACCTTGCGATCTACGGAAATCAATGGAAAGGTACGAGAGAATTTCAACGAGTTTGTAGGAAGGCGAGCAGCTGCTCCGACTACGACCCGATGTGCAATGCGCCAAGTGGACGTATGTGTATCGTAATCGTAAAGTTAGTTGACGCTTTACTGAGGCATTAAAGTTCATTCTTCCACCGATAACCCCACGCGTGGCGTAATTACATTGACAAACATATTTATGTGTAACAGCGTAAAATGTTACGATCGATCACAATTCGTCTGTCGACGTTGCAGATAATGGATAAACAATCTCGCCCCGTGATAAACGTGGCGTGTAAGCGGGATGAGTCCGCGGCGAGTTGAAATTACATTCCGAAAAAATTAACAAGGGAAAAACACCGTCGAACGCCAAGGCAAGGTTTATACAAATTTTGTAAAACACACGAGGTAACGGAGAGATAAGATAAATATAAAATGTGCAAAAGAATGAAGAGGTGTAGGCATAATTTTTCGTTCGTAAAAAGAGATTGCTGTTATCTTAATAATTGAAAAAAAGGGAGATATTACGAGGGGAAAATCTATTTCAAGTGCCTTCGCGTAATATTATTATTGAAACTTTATCAAAGGCCGAAAGTGTTTTAAATAATACGGACACGTGCGAAAGTCCGGAGCCCCAAAAGCTCAATTACGACGAGGAAGCTGTTCAAAACTGCAAGTCTTTTTCTAATTTATATTATTAGTGGAATTAGTTTAAAGAAAGAATTTAAGTGAATCTCTGCGTCGAATTGAGTTCTCTGAAAATTCTATTTTGCCCAACAATTGGACGCAGTTGTCCAATTAGCGCCATGTTTTATTTGTAGTTCCGTATCGCAAAGTAACTAAATACATATATTATGGAAAACCGAATTTTACTTCTAATGTGAAAAAAACGCATATAACGCATAGAATGATAAAAGGAACATCATAGCCCAGTCGATACACGAGATAACGTCCCGGCGAGAAATGACTTGTCGAACGACGTCGAAACGAGGTCGAATCGACGTCAATATGACGGTTTCGACGTCGATACGATATCGTATCGACGTCGATCGACGAGTCATTTCTGACTGGGGTTCGTTGGCGCCGAAATTTTATTTCTGAATTTTGCCCCGGCGGAAAAACAAGATTGGACGCGCAGCTGCGTCCAATTGATACAAATTGACGTTCCTGGTCAACGGGGGACCCTCCTCCCATTTCACTTCGGCCCCGCTACGGCACTGGCAAAATGCTAATCAAGTGTAATCAAAGAAGCTAGAAGGATACATGGGTAACGTTCGTTCCCGAGCCATCGGAAGCCCACGACTACGAACGAAAGCGTTCAACTGTCTCACGAAAATGGAGCGCTACTCGCGTCGATGTCAGACGAATATCCGCAGATCTCGAGGCTCCTCTTCGGCCATCGAATAGCCACCGGCTTTCCGCGAAAGCGGATTCTTTGCTTCCGTTGGCTCGACGAACACATCAGTTGCGCAACAGTGAACACAATATACCACCGTTACGTCGCGATTGACAAGCTCATTCACAGATTACTCAAAAGTACTCACTCGTTCTGGTACGCAACCCGTGGTCGAGAGACGATAGCTTCGGCTAAGCCGAAGACTGTAGGCATCTGCGACGCGTCCTTGATCGGCGAGATCCTTTATATGCCTGCTCCGGGTACGCAGCAGGTTCTCGACCAATTGAAAACCGCGCCGATTCAAACTCGACCAATTCCCGGCCATCTTGTGGCGCGCACGTGGCCAGTCTATGCGTGTGCGTGAGCGATACGTGGTCGCCGGCAGCAGCGGGCCGTTTACACGCCCTGGTCGACCTGGTGTTTGTGCACGTGCCGGCGGTTTGGCTGACGGCAGAGAGCGATCCCGTAAACGCCTGAGACTCTTACAATTTGTCGTAGACGAAAGGTAGGACGGAGAAAGACGTAAGTCTCGCGTACAATAGCCTTTCACGACTTACGTTTCTCTCGCTGCCTTACGTCTACGACTAAGGGTGAGGGCACAAAGCGACGTTATGCGTGGTCTACAATGCGAGTCGCAGAGTCGTAGTCGTGCGAATAATCGGCCACGATTGGTCAGTTCTTAAGCCTCCGCTACAATGATTCTCGGTTCTGTCTACAATGCGAGTCGCAGAGTCGTAGTCGTAAGAATAATCGACTGCGATTGGTCAATTCTTACTTTGCGACTGCTCAAGCGACCATCGATACAACTGTACGACCATTGTAGACAGAACCGAGAATCATTGTAGCGGAGGCTTTACGTGTCTAACGGAATTGACCAATTGCAGTCGATTGTGCGACTCGCATTGTAGACCCCGCATTAGTGATGTTGATCTAACCTTGTGCCTGTGATTGGTTAATTTCTTACGGCTCAAGGCTTGCAGCTCACGCAAAGCAAGGTTGTAGACCAGCACTAATAGATTAGCGTACAAGAGCTTCGGCGTATGTCGTACTTGGCTCCAATCACATATGACGTTAACATTCACGCGAAAGCTTGCGCGCCATTTACGTTTACGCCCGCGTCTCTGTCGTAATAAGCTGTTACGTCGCTTTGTGCTCCGACCCTAGAACAGTCTCGAGCGTTTACGGATCGTTCTCTGCCGGCAACCTTTACCTCTCTCGTGCGAGGCCGGCGTCCAACGCGGTCCCCCCCTGTTCGCAGAACCGATTACCGAGGCACGAACGCCCGGTGGTTCAGCGACACACGACCGCCGCGAATGTCGCGGGGATCACGTCCCGTGTCGCGGACGCCGACACGAGGCGCTTGCCACTGCGATTCGTGCTCGCCCACGTGGTCCCGTGACGTAGCGCGCGCGCCGATTACGATTTTTCTTACAATTAGAAATCGTGTATTCGTAACAAAGGAGAACGTTTTTAGATTATTCGTCGAGAATGTCTTTGGAATATTCGTTCAGAATCATTTTTTAATATTCATTGAGTTTGTGTATTGCACATTGTTTATTGTGTAATACACTTATCTTATGCAAAAGGCAGCGAAACCTGTGATCATACCGTATGTATAACCGACACGCTATATTCGATAGATCATTCTATTCACATTCGAAAAAGAAACTTAAGCAATGCTAAAAGTTCCGATTGGTTGAAATTCTTAAGTTTTAAGTCTCACTGCTTAAGTTCCTTCGTGTGCTTCCAGCTTTACTTCGAGTCCGACGTAGTTTGTTCTCTTTTGTACCATTTTTCACTCTCGCGCAATATGAATTTTGTTTCAAACCGTTGTTATCGTCTCGCTGATGACGATTTGCCGATATCTTCCTCGAGACACCAATTGTCCGCCGCTTTCATTCTTTCAAGTTCGCGGATGATAGCGACCGGAGTTCCGCTGAAGCGTCTTCGGCTCGTCGGGAGACAAAAGAAAAACTGTGTAACGCGCGAGACCGAGTAGTTTCAAGCGACGGACAGCTGCGAATCTCGCGAGGGCGAATCGCGTGACTCGAAAGCGAACGCGCGATCGGCGGCTTTTTCCCCGCGTATCTAGACCGGCCAGTCCGGTCAGCGGTTTTCTTTCTTAAATCAAACTTCCGGATGCCTTCACGCACGCGCCTGCCTGCCTCTCTCTCTATCTTGACGGTCTCGTTACTTACCGAAATCGCGTTCGCCTTCAGCGATGCTCGGAGCTATCTCGAAGATTCCTCGGCTCGGCTTTTAAACCTGACGTTTTACCTGTCGGAGATATTTTATAGGCTCGGATGCAGGCTTTCGAAGATGTTCCCACGTTTTCTTTCCCCTCGATTCAACTGATTCCCGAAAAGAGATATGATTAACGTTCCTCCTTCCGTCGAGCCTTTTTTTTATGTTTTAATCACGCCACGCACCGATATCCGAGAATAGCTTGTTTACGAATTCACGTATATCAGCTCGAAATTATGCAATGAATATAAGTAGAAGAATAATCGCAACGGATCGATCGCGAATAAAAAAATGTCTCGCAGAAGTATACGAGCAATTGATCCTTTAGCTACTAATATCGTCTATAGTTGACACTCATCTTGTAGGTACTGATGCCGTAGTCGGTTATTTACAATAAATCATTGTACGAATACTATTGTGATGAATTCTTTCGTTACAAAATATACACAGCGTAACGCGCTCTTATATAACGAAAGCCCTTCTGCGGTCTTATCGTAGCGAAAGAGTTAGAAAGAGTCAGGTGGACGGACTCGACGTCTCGACGAAGATGATGAAGAGAGAACGGTAATATCGATATATCTAAAGAGAGAGAGAGAGAGAGAGAAAATATGCACTTATCGAAAAGGAAAACAGAATCAATATGGCAAAGTACTTTTGAAAAAAAGAGAAAGGAAACATGTACTTACTGAAATTTAAACAAAAGTGAACAGAAACAATATGACGAAAGGTCTATCGATCTGAAGAGGGAAAGAGACATGCAGAAAGGAAAGAATGAATAGATAAGAAAAAAATGGATAGGAAGAATATAACGAAAGATACTGCGAGACACACGATTATCGCGTCTGACGATAGTCCCGTCCAGGAGACCCTCACAAAAAGTTGGAAGAAATTACATCGTTCTGATAACGCGACGTGCTGATAAGGTGACGCTCTCCGGTCTTTCTCGACCGCGCAGGATAGGCGTTTACTCGCAACGCAACGGGGGGGTGACCAGGGCACAAAGGAATGAGCGTCGGAGGAAGCTGTTGTACTCCTCCGAGTTCGGAGTAATCGGCGCGGCTTGGTATAAACGTCACGAATCGACGGTGCGTACGGACTGTAGCACACTCGATAGTCGAGAGGCTGACAAGATAGAACAGTACGATACAGCAATTATGCTCTCCCGCCGAAGTGAAAGTAACTTATTACTAGCAATTCTTTTTTAGTCCAGGTCGCATTCGGCGAAGGGTGACCCTTTAACGCACGCGGAACGTTTCGCACAATTCTTGACGCGAAAGAACTCACGCAGAGCACTCGCAAATGTCAGCCAAGGAGGATTCAACAGATTCCTCGTTTCTATATTAGACGGTTCACTCCAAAAGAAGCAAAATAAAGATCACTTGAATCTCGATCGATTTCCGAGTTTGCCAGAGTGATTTTTGTCTACTCAGTGAACTAACAGTTACATAACGTCAATTGTTATAATTTCTCAGTCAACAATATGAATGTAGTATAACACGCGTACGTAACAATTATATAACTGTTAGTCGGTGTTCACCGAATAGCAGTCCATTTGTCTACAGAACTGATCTGCGGTCACCGTTAGTCGTCACAGAGTCCTGCATGTCTCAACAAAATGTACTAGGAACGTATGAAAAATTTGGTATCAATTTTAACGTTTCTCTACAGCTTTCTCTGGTGACGCTCAACATTACAATAGTTGCAATTCGAATACGCTTTTCTGGATATTGTATACCTGAAAAAAAAAACGCTCTTCGTATCACGTTTCAACATCGAGGACGATGTATTATACATCAGTACGATTTAAATGGACTTGAGCCACGAATAATCTTCATAAAAGCGAGCGGCGAGTACGTAACGTCGACTGTCCTTATCATTGACGTACGATGGCGTGTTGTCACCAATAACTAATAATTTCAATATCCAATTTCTTAATCTGCTATTTGTATCGTGAACCAGCGGCAGCGTGATACGCGGGCGAAAGGAAGTTAATCGGCCGTAAGAAAATTCCTACGTAACGTTAGAGAAAGTCGGCTGACGATAATGCTCGCATGTTTGCGCATTTTCGAAACAAACGCACATTTTTTTTTCTGTCGGCTCAATGCAAAAATTACATCCACCCAACCGCGCTCAGGCTACGTCTGCAAAGCAAGAGATTACAATGATGCGATCGAAACTCTGAAATCATAACGTGATTTCCCTCTTCTTAATCCGCTGATAGCGTGTAAACTCAACAATACGCCTCTTATAATCACTTTGAACTATTTTTCTCGTTGACGCTACCTAGTAGACAACGATATAAACGAAGCTTTCAAAGGCGTCTCCTCTAGCTGAGAAGCGACGACGTGATGTTGAAAAATAACGACGTCTCCAGTTGTATTGCTTTTATTATTTTACTTCTCCTTACGCATGCCAGCACTTAATTGTCTCGCCTCCCTAGAAATAAACTATCAAATATTCAGATTTACAATCGCAGTGTTGAGCAGTTCTCTTTATAAGGTCAGCTCTACAAAAAGACGCAAAAGTTATCTCTGGTGTACAACCTATTATTACATAGCCGGATCGTTCCGGCTTGTTCTCTCCTTCGCGTGCCGCTCGTTACAATCGCGCGTCGCCGATGCTGTCGACGGTACAATCAATCAACTTAAACACGATTTCTTTCCTTTCATTTCCCCTTGCAAAAAAAAAGGTATGCTTTCTTGTCGTTAACTATAGTCTCGTGTGCCAGCTTCGACTTGACGATTGCCGTTAGCAACAATCCCCGAGGAACCTAACGACGAAATATACATATATAAACAATAAAATGTGTGATTCTCGTATCGCACCATCATGATCGTCCGCTACGTTAATGCTTGCAACAAATCTGTCTCGCTTTGTTTTCTCTTTCTCTTGCGGATGAAACATCGTCATCGCCGCTTCTACGAGCGATCTATCGTTAGCTTATTATCCACTTGCGATTCGGCACAGACCCTTTGTAAAGTGATCAATCCCTCGCCCCTTGTTTCACCTAAAAAGGATAGGGCTAGAGGAAAAAAGATGCGGTCAGAAACATACGCGGTGATAATGTAACGATACTGCGAACACCAACCTTTAGGCATACAAAGATATTATATCTCATCTGTATTCGTGGGCGATACTTCTTCAGTAATCAGATCTGCGATGATGCTCTTTACAACTCGATTTGAAATTTACGACTGTTTACGACACACACGTACGCACGTACACACTCACTCTCTCTCTCTCTCTCTGTCTCTCCCTCTCTCGCATTTACCTTGATAACACGTTTAACAAACATGCCGACAAATTATTCCAAACGGATTAAACAATAAACGTAATAAACATAAATGTACGAGTAGCAAAAGGAAAACGCTCGACGTCCACAGAACGTAATTTAGAATAGCTCTCTCTAGATACTGAGATTATATGCCACCGAACAGTCTGTACAGCCACATTTAATTCCCTTTTCTTTTTTTTTTACAAAATACTTTGCGCGTGTGCCACGCTCTCGCATGACTTACGCGTCCAGTCTTCTTCAAGAGCCATTATGTATTGCGTAGGTTTTACTCGGTTGTATTATTATTAATCGATCAAATAGCGCAAAGCGTCATCACTCTTGACGAATTAAATCTTAGCATAATTCATGTTTATTTATATTGGTATACTACTCCCGTACTACAAATTTCGCTCTCGATTCTCATAGTTTGTAATTCGAGTAATCTTAAACATTTAAAATAGTTTGATCCAATTAACGTCTAAACTTACGAACTTGACGGATCTCATTGAAAACCGTAAAACGACCATGATAAACAGTTTCTCAACTTAAAGAGAAATTTATTAAATAATCCACGTAGAAAGCTCAGCGTCCTCCTTGACATTTACAATTATGTTATTTCAAATATTCGAGAGCCGGCGTGGTGTTTAAATACATGCTGTTGGCTAAGTTGAGTTGATCACAGTAAAGTGTAGAAAACGATAAATAAAGATTCGCAAACGACAGATCTTGCACAAGACGCAGGTTACCTTATTGAGAGTGACTCACCTCTACTTGCTGTGTTAAAAATTATAAATATAAAATAGAGAAATTAATCGTTGATTTAGGACCAAACAGAAAAATGGTATTTCTTATACAAATAAAATCACTTTATAAAAGCGGAGTGGCAGTTTGCTCATTCTGCTCTAAAATTATAAAATAAAAAGAGAAAAGCCGCGAATATATATTTACTTATATATATATATATATCCTATTATAACAATAAGCATTTGCGTCTCGCCAAGAATTTTTTTCGTTTAGATTAAGCGTCACTCGTTTCACCGATTTCCTGCTTTACACGTTTTTATACTTATAAAATTTCACAGTTTCGACGTAAATTATACGATAGAAAATAACACAAAAAAGTATATTTTTACATAAGTAAATTGAAATGCAAGAAAAATATTTCAGGATGTTTGAAAGATCTGGAAAATTTTTATTTATGCACTTTCTTCTCCATTCTTATGGCGTGAATAAAATAAAGCAACGGTATAATTCTGTGTTTCGTTTAAAAACACAAGAAAATAAAGTTATATATTAAAAATCGATCGAAACCTTGCGTTGAAATCTTTAAATGCATATTAAAAATTTTGCACTGTTCATTTTTTTTAATGGCAAAAAGTCTACATTTCAAACATCTTGCAGATACAGCATAAAAGACGAGCGATTTTTTTAGCGATGCTACAAATATTAAATATTACATCCTGCAAACGTAATGCGACACCCCTTGGAACGTAACAATTACGTACAACTTGTATACGATAGGGTAAGAACCGGAATTTGTAAAGTCTCAGTTTCCTAAGAAAATTAAAAAAAGAAAGAAATAGTTTATTAGAGATAATTACCAGACAATAATAGTTACATTATACGTGCATCTTGTAATGAAATATTTTCGGAGTCTAGGCGAAAATCCATACTGAGTGACGCCAAAATAATCTACCGGGCCATTACGTAAAATCTTTACAAATTCGAATCGAGGAACTATATCGTCGCTCTTCCATGATGCATAAAATAGCACTGCACATATTTCACGATAGTTTGTTAATCCATCGTATACTAAGCATGGATTTACTTTACGATGTCGTTCTTGCAGTATTAAAATTGCGTATTTAATCTGGCTGAAGAAACGAATACATTGAACGCATTTTTCCAACCTTCAATATATCAGACGTCGCTCTCTTACTATACAGAATCGTATAAATTATTATGAGTGGCTGCCTAATTTAATTTCTTCTTCGTGTGGTGGAAATTTAATTGTAAATCTTAATGGCCTTTTCGAGGTAGTTGATACGAGAGCGCTTTGGCGCTTTGTTGACGTGTTCCAGGCCAAGCCAAGGCCTGTGTGGAGATGTGCCTGCGTTGGAAAGTGGATAGACTACAAAATTTATTCTCCACTAGCATCGTATCGGCAGTACACTATATATCGAATACAGTGACCATGCGATTCGACGCTTGATTTACTGATTACACATTCGAAAGGGAAAGGTAAATGCTTTTCTTAAATACTTACTCTGACTGGTGTATCTGGGAAGGAAATCCTCAATTTTGATACAAGAGTCCGGCGAGTCAGTGATGAATTGTGGCTTCCCCATTGTCACCACCGCGAACTTAAACTTCAAAGTTTTTTTATGAATTCTCATAAAAGATCAAAAAAGATTAGCTAAGGATGCCTACCTTTTCAAATTCTTTCTCCTGGACGCCTAATTTTTTTAATAACCTGTCCTTCATCTTGGGAAAAGGTTCGCCCTGCAAACACAACGATTATCGATGCCTCGCATGTCACATTACGCGATGATTTTAATTCGAAACGTTACTCACGTGCTTGATCTTGAAAAAGAAGGGTATACCGAACGTTGAGAAAACCTCTTTGTGAAAATGCGCAACAGGAACTAGCATTTCGCCCTCTGCCAGATTCACTTCGTCAACCGGTATTTCTTCTATCCTATACAACTTGGTGCCTGATGTGTTTAAGTGATCTAATGGTGTATCGTCCCCAGGACCGGGTGACAATTTGTTGCAAGTCATTTCTAATATCCTTAGTTTTCCCGATCCGTTTTCCGATAATTCTACCTGCTTCTTAGCCTCCTCAAGTAAATTAGCAACAGTGCCGTTTTTATTTGGGTAAAGAATCATCTCCTTCTCCTCCTTAAGTGATGGCCCTACCCATATGCACTTGAACTGTTTCTTGTTTTCTAGCTCGTTCACCCTAATACTGAGCTGTTGATAAAATAATTTCTTTACTTTCGTTTTGCAGTACGCGACCAGCTCTTTGAGCGTGCCGTCAAATGTGCACTTTAAAGGATGACCGGGAGAATCTTTGTAACTGTAAAAAGAATTTCGCAAATAAAATCAAACCTTTCCCTTGAAAGCATCTTCAGTTAATCGAAAACTTGTCGAAGGCAACTCGACTATTTTCGACATGTAACATTATTGATATCAAGAAGCAAATAGAGATATCAATTCTTACTTTTGACATTTAAAGAACTGTAAAAGGTACGGATCTGTGCCGACTCGTTGCGCTACAGCCTTTGCCATTTGATCATACGTCATTCTTAGTGACAATTCCATTGTAAAACCTGGATCGTTCGGAATCAATTTATCACAAAACGTTACTTCTACCCTATAGAATAGATCTCTGAAATGCAAAACACACTAGATTAGCAAGCGTGTTGCAATATTATAAATATTCAGAAACAGGTTCCTCAAGATACATTGGCGATAAGAAATGAAAGTGTTAGAGTGTTCGTGCTACTTACTTGAAATATTCTCGACACGTCGGAAGTTCATACATTTCATTGTCTCCTTCCTTTTGAAATACGATGATATCACCGTCCATCAATTCCTCCAGAACCTTTTCCAAAGGCTCCGACAGGTTATCTATTTTCTCAACTAAATTTGGTTTAATTTCCTCGTATAAAGCGAGCTCTGTGTCTGGTGGGAATCCGGCACGTTCATTTAAAATCGGTATGAGTTCCTCTGTAAAATTTATTATTAGAGCTGTATATTTTTTCTAATAATACCCAAAACATAATCACATTCTCTCTCTTTCCCTCCCCCCCCCCTCTCTCTCTCTTCTCTTTAATATATTATATTCATACACATCAAAATTTCAACTTACGGACTTTAGCTACAACAGGCATATAATGATGACCACAGTAGTGTATTTTCTTATTTTTGGGATCGTAGAGCTTAAAAAAGAGTAAAACATCGGTATCCTTGTCGAAAGGCGGTAACGCTGTCATGTCGGAGTCTGGAGGTACAAGCTCAACAAAGACGTTCCACGGATTGTGATTTTCAGCGCAGTCGATGATGGGCTTTTGAAGATCAGCATCCGGTTCGATCAGCGTAGGTCTACAGGTTTGATTTGAACGTGTACTGAAGGGCCAAATGCGAATCTGTTCTATGGGATATTTCTGTAGAATAAATTCGATGATATTAAACACCTCGATTGTCTCCGTACCATAAAAAAAAATCTAAACTATTGCGAAAAAGAGCTGCTTTCAAAATCAATTTTTCAATATCATTGCCATATTATTTCGCAAAGATATAGAATATTTTCTCTATTTTTTTACACGTCATACAGGTAAATGCTGACGTAATTTTTGCAAGTTTCATTACCTACCGTGATATAATTCAGTCTAATAAAATTCCGTATAGTCCATAAAGCACGTACAATACGGTATAATGGTATTAGATATTACATCAGTATCGATTTACTTTGTAAATAAATCCTGATGTACACGTATATAGCACAAAATCAGCTTTGAAGTAATATAACGGCGTTTCGAAAGAAATGCCGAACGCGCAATTTGTCTTTATCAAACTCACTTACCAGACTATCGCTCAGTAGCTCGAGAAACTCGTGCACAGCGGCCTGCTTACGTACGCGAAATACACGATATAAAGCGTGCTCTGGATCGTAGAGATCATTTCCTTGGTGACCGTCAAAGCTATCCTCGAGAAGGACATTGACGGTCATGTATAAGTATGCTTCCGTTCTCTCCTTTCTTCTTATTTGTTCCAGCCTCTTCTCCTCTTGCAGCCTCTCCACCAGCTAGACCAACAAAATTAAAATTATCCACGTGTGTACTCATTTCGTTCTTATTAATCATTTTTCCTCGACTGTCTTTTCAATTTATATAATTTGAACTCTCTTTTTCTGTTTTTTAGAAAAAGATTATCTCTCTCAGTATCATGCTTTTGAGATTCGAGAATAGATTCGTATTCGAAACATCAAAAGAATGACGGTACATTTTCCATTTTTGTAATTTTAATTTTGTTCATCTGCCGCTATATCGACTACCAAGTCAAACAATTACACAATGAAAATTATTTGGCGGTGAGTGATGGTTCCCAGTTATCTCTTCCTGGCTAATAAATACAAGCACACAGTAAATATACAGTATTAGTAATTAAGGATAAATTGATAACATAAATATGCATGGTATACAAATACGATATGTAAATTCTATAATAATCTTTGATTATATAATGCATTGCCGTTTTAAGAATATCCAAAAAAAAGGGGTAATCATCCGAGTATAAAAATAATTAATAAATCTTGATGAAACAATATACCTTAACCATTGTGTACATGCATGTATAAAATACATACCGATTAAAACACTATGTAACCACCACCCATGCCAAATAATTATAACAATGTAATGTGTAACTATAGTAGTGTGGAGATGCCTTGTAACTTGGATTTATTTCTATTACTCTTGAATCGTATAAGATAGCGAAGAATAGCGGTAAAAATAAATAAAATTAACGCGATTTCCGCCTTTGAAATTTTCTAGTATTCAACAATTTATTCGTTATCCTTTTTTTCTTTATTTTTATATATAAAATAGTGATATAGCATTCAAAGGTATCTCACGATTAAAGCTATTATAAAGTATTTACTCTATCGATGATATTTTATCGTTCTTTCATCTCTTTCTCTCTCTCTCTCTCTCTCCCTCTCTCTCGCTCTGTCTCTCTCTCTCTTTCTCTCTAATTATTCATATATAACAACAAATAAATAGATAGTTATCTGTCAATGATCATAATTATTATTAACATGGAGAGAATTTGATGAATCAACGACTTGCTTAAGTGATTGCATGTTCTCTGTTGAAACACGAAGTTCTTACTTTACTCATTATTGTATCGACTTTAAATATTAGTTGATGAAAACTGCGAGGGTGAGTAATATAAATCACATTATGTCTCACTCACTAAACAATCCAGTTAAATAGCAAACACGCTAAAGAAGACATTTCAAGGAAGCTGATGTTCTGACACAAGTACTACTTATCGATTATTTCCTCTCTTTCTCGTATGTATTGCAAGAGCTAACAGAACCGTGTTAGCTCGAATCGATACTTAGTATATTCTCACTAACTGTTTTTTTTTGTTTTTCCCTAATTCTCTTATACAATTATTCACACATATCCAATCCTTTCTTGAGATATGTTTGTTCATTTTTCATTCATGTTTTCGATATACTACAATACAATGATTAAATTTGTTATATAGTATTATACAATGTTTGTTACAATAAACATTCTCAAAATAATCCTAAGGCTCATCACGATATTAGTCTGACAATCAGACTTGAAGTTTATCCAATCCTGGATAAATATTTCCAATAAAAATGACAAAAATGCAACACGCACATTAATCATGGATCTTTCTCTTTAATTCTTTCTTGCGTTATTGATATAAAATTATGATTTAAGATAAGAATAAATAAAAAAAATCACATGATTCTCATATATGCTTCGAGCGCCCGTACCGAAAAAATCCTCTGTCAAAAAAATGTCCTCTTATCAATATATAAAACAAATCTCTATATAACATGAATGATATAATTCCAACTGTAATATACATGTGATCAGTCATATATATCATATTTTGTATCTTTCCCGATGCTGAGTCATTACTTCGAAATATATTCAAACCACCAAAAACTCAATTCTGATAATGCATGTGTGAATATTTTGTACCAAGCAAATCCAACTATTCTGAATCCAACATTGTCTCTAGAAATGTACACGATTTATATAATGTTAACATTTACCGAGGGGGGGGGGGGGGGTATAGCAGCCCAAAAGCTGATATCAATGTAAATATCTCTGTTAAGAAAATTCAAAACAAAGTTAGTAACAACTGCTCTCTCGAAAACGAATAATAGTAGAATATTTTCATTAAATAAATCTTCTAATTTGTACACACATATACAATCTCAAAAATTAAACTATCAATGTGTGGTAGCCAAAATATCGCAACGAGGACAAAAAATCGCCTCGACTTTTTTCTCGTATGTATATATAGTTACAATGTGTGATGTGCGAATCTGACAATTCTATGCTATGAACAAGCTCGTAGCGGCTCAATATAACATCGAAACTTCGGGAAGAGTTTGATCAAGAAGCAACATAAGCAATTTACAACTCCTTACACCTATTTCTCCATCGTCGTTTGTCGGTTAAAAATCATGAATATAGAGATTTGGATTTCGAGGATTTTGAGTGCACTGACGAAGAGTCGCCGTCTCTGTATGAGAGTCTTTAATCGAGTCAGTCGCGTCTTTGTCACGTTCAAGGTCGCTCAACTCCTGGGAAAGCTCTCTTTGAAGGACGTTTCTGACCTCTTGAGGTATATCCTCTTCCTTGACCTCTTGCAAGACGTTTTCCAGCTCTGAATTTCTTATGTAAACCAACATATAAGCGTTAGTGCAATGTTTCACAGCCATAGACATGTCCTCGTCTTGACCACCGTAGTTATGTTCGATAGCTTCCTGCTTTGTACATCGTGAGACAACATCGTCGTCGAACTTACACCACTGTCACAGAACAGATCAAAATGTTTCAGGAAGATGTTGCAACATAATATGATATTTAAATTATATAACTCTTGTTAAAATGCACAAAGAAAATATTCTGCATAATTCAAATTATATTCTTTTCTCTAACTTTATTATAAAACGAATGAGTAAATAAACGCAAAAAATATATAACTGAGAACAAATTAGTTCAGTTCGGTTGCAATGTAAAAAGGCAGATTTACAAAAATTGTATTGCACAGTAAAGATCAAATATATCCAAGACACTGTAAGATTATGATTATATGCTTAATTCCTAAGACATTAATATTCAATCATACACTTACCTTGCCATCACCAGCGGGATTAATAAATACAACATAATGTCCACCATGATTATCGCCACTATGAACTAGAACAGCGTGCAATGTGTAATCCGCACTTGTTGCTTCTTTGTTTTGCAGGTATTTGCCGAGACTAATTTTTTCATAAAACTCAAACCTTTAAAAACAAATTTGCACAATTATTAAAAAATACAATCATATTTATATTTTTATCCTCATAGAAATTTGTACTTTCTTGCCGTAAATAGAACAGTTATATTATAATCACTGTAAAATAAGCGAGTTAATACAAGTCAGTTTCTCACCTGTCATTAAATTTGACTGAGCAGTCTGTAACTGGGTCATACTGAAAACGCATTAGATGTAGGTGTAAAACCGGTGGAAAGGACGAAAAGATGACGCCTTTCTCCGCTTCCTGTAATCCGTGCTCTCCCGCGTCGTACTTATTATCGCCATCCAGGCTCTCTGTACTCACATAATCGCTAAAAGACTCATAGACTGAAATACAAAAACATTGATTCATTCCTTGTTCACTCAAACGTCATAGATAAGAAGATCGTGTTTTTGGTACTTACTGTTCTTTTTGCCTTTTATATTTAACTGTATGTCATAAAATGTTTCAACTCTTGTGGATTTGTAGTCTATATTTTTACACTTGATAAAAGAGACCATTTTCCCCTCAAACAATTTTGGCACTGTACCTTCCACGCATGTTCCCTTCATTTTGCTCTCCAGTTTATCTAATAGCTAAATTTTCACAAACATTAGAGTACGTGTACGTATAAAAATTTGGTAAGCAATTTATACCATGATATACAAGTTTAAGCATAATGTATAATATAATAAAGCGGACAACATATTTACCACTCGTAGAAATTCCTGCACGTCATGCTGCATGAAAGAATCCAGCGTCTCCCAACCAAAACTTTTAGTTAATTTCTTCGTGCCGACAGGCTTGTCGGAAAACTGTAACTCATGAAAAACCCTCTGCAAGGCTAGCGCAACGCTCTTACTCGAATCATCACTCTCTGTTGGCATTTTGTATACTGCCTTTCGCAACTGAAAAACGAGTAAAAATAAAATAATAACGAAAACACAGTCACTTAATTGGTTAAAAATGCCTGCCTAACACCAACCTGATTTGTAAAATAGAGAGTTTGCAATAAAGAATTCATATAACATGTAGCACCCTGATTTTTCAAGCCTACGTATCCCGTATGTTTTTTACTGTCCCAACTGACTCCGTGAGGTGCATCAGCTACTACATGTACCTAAATTAGAAGAAATATATTACGAGAATTCAATATAAATACGCAATATAAATCTTATGGAATTAGCTTTCATATCGACTACCACATTGTCATTCAGTTGTGCGAAATTCAAGAAAAACTCCCACAAAGCCAAACGCGTTTTCTTATAAATTAAAAATTGTATAAAAGAATATTTTAACTAAAAGCAATACTTTAAGGAAAAAGTGAAATATGGCCGAAAACGCATTTGGTTTCTTAGTTTTTTTGTAAACTTGAATATTATTCATATGTTTGGCAGTCAACGTATCAATCCTGTTAAAATTCTCTTTCAAAAGATATTTTCTCAGACATTTGTAAATATATTAAAAAATTCTATAAACTGTACAAACTGCGTAACTTGTAATCATAACTATGAAATTTTACTGCATTGCATTGATTGGTCAATAACGAGGAGTAAACCGCTGAGGGTATCGTGGCGCGAGAGATTTGCGACATTAGTGGGCTAATGCCCAGTCTGTCTAATCTAAGCATTACTAGGCATTTTTGGGCACTTTTCTGGGTACTATAAAGGTAAAATAAGATAAAGTAATGCCCACATGTATCAGCATTGGTGTACATGATTTTAGTCAGCGGTTTACCTCTCGGTCAATAACTAGAATAATAAGCAGACGAAGTTAAGTACAACGAGAAATGTTGAAAAAATCACAGTACCATTAAAAATTGTCAGTTGATAAAGTCATGTTACAAACCTCAAGCGTGATCGAATCATCTTTTATGAAACCTCTATCAGGATCTAAAACATCCTGCCATGTCATAAAGTGGCTAAAGCCCCAATCGTTCTCTTTACTGTAGAAGAGATGTTGAATTTCTATAAAAGTACGATACATATTATTGCAAAAGAATGTGCACGACTTCTTAAATTAAAATTAAGGCCAATAATGAACAGGCGAATTAACGTAGAACGGAATCACATTTACTTCTGCTAAATGGTTCCTGTCCTTCTTTGCAAGAAAGAAGACGTAGCTCGGCAACAGCGTAACAGCTCCAAGATGTAGATTCACTCTCTCCATTACACTGAAGGAAAAATCCAAGAGATCTTTGTGGCTGCCTTTCTTGTGTCTGACTTGACCGAGGCATCACCATTATTTTCCATGGTAAATTACGGACATAACACGCGGGGGACAGCTGTGAGTCCTTCATCTTGGATATATTTTCAACAGTATATCGAAAAGTAGCTTCCGATCTGGCCTCGTCTAATACACAAAGGAGGAAAATAGAATTGATAAAATGCAATAAAGGTAAAAAAAAAAACAAATTGTGACGTGGACGAGAGTGAAATTGGGACTTGAATTTCTGAAAAGTTTTCAACACGAACAAGTGCAAAGGAAATACAAGCTGTATCGGTTACAAAAAGAAACAAAAGCATTGTATATCGTAAGATTGTCTGTAAATTGTGAAGTCGCCTAAACAAAGAACGTGGTATATAACAGAGAGAATCGTCATACCTTCCTCCATTTCTTGATCCTGAACTATACATGCTAATTCTGGTTCACCATTTATAGGACGGTTGTCAGTTCCGTCTCCCCCACCATCATTTGGGGCTTCTACAAAAGTTAACGTTCACTTTTTAATGGTCAAACGCACAAGGCTAAGAAAAATTTTAGAGAAGGACCCGCAAAGACAGAGCCGTGAAAACAGGAAGTTAACCTTATATCTCGCAATGTAGATTCGACGAGCGATAAGCGCGCGCGTACAATTCTCTATATTAATTAAACGATACATCGCAGCGTACCTGCGCCGCGCTTTTATACGTCGAAATTGCACGTGAAAAATACAAGTGTACCGCGCATTCGTCGCAGAAACGGCCGCGATCAAATTTTAATATCGACACGGAACAATTGGTTTACCTAAAGTGGCGGTGCAATTCTGAAAGAACTTTGCTAAGAGAACGTGAAAATTGCAATTTATGGATCGACACCTCATGTGGAACGTCTCTCTCGGCCGGCAACGTAGCGATAATTGCAACGGGGAATATCGGAGGGCGGAGACAGGGGGGGGGGGGAAACGTAAGGGAGGGCGCCCGATCGAGATCGCGAAGTTAGGTTAACATTCGCGCACTTCGCAGGCCCGTGCGTACACCACGGTGTACCGCGGCTCGTTTTCACATCTGAGTTTTAGCGTCGATGTAAAAGCGCACCGAATCCCGCCAGCATTGTACACGCACTGCGGGAAGAGGCGATCAAGTAGCGACTACCCCGTTTCGGGCGGCCTTACGCAGTACAATAATCTTTATCAGCGTTGATTACGTTTATATATCCACGAAAATTTCTGATAATGAAACCGTGACGTAATATCTCGCTCTATATTATCTGTCTACAATCAGATATATTCGATTCGCCGCAGTGCACGCGCCGCTTCCGAGGATCTGCATCCGCGGGCGTCTCTCTACGCGCGGAGGGAAAACGCCGGGGTCTCGCCCGCCGAACGACGAAACCGAGACGTACACGCGAGCGGGCTCGAAAACTCGCGCGCGAAACAAAGTGACGCAACCGCGCGATACGTGAATAATGTAACGCAGCAACAATTTGCACACTCGACGCGGATCGCCGACTCGACTGCGACGGGTACGAGTTCGCGCGACCTTTTTCGCGATTTGTAAAGGGAGAAAAAAAGTGTTGATCTTGGCAGCAGCAACGGAACGTACATCTCGATTTGTGTACGCAAGTGTACCTCGCGTACAAATACTTTCTAACGCTTGGCGCCGCGGCACGACGAGTCCCCGTCCCGTCCCGTCCTTTTTCGCTCGCGCGCGCAAAAGTTCGGGGGCGAGCGCGAGGAAGGAAAAATGTGCGCGAGGCAACGCCGTGGAAAACGCCGATCGCTGGACGCCCGGCTCGGGCGACGTGTACCGTATACCCCGCCGGAGTCACCGCGCTCGGCAGAAGCCAACGGTAACGGCGCGAAATGAATCGCTCTAGATCCCGCGCCCGCGTAGCGATCTCGCGCGGACGCGTGAAAATGCCGCGCGCCCGTGTTCCTCGCTAAATATAAAAACCGACTGCTCCGGCGGTCACGCGGTTACCGTCGGGCGGAAAAAAGGAAAGAAAATTCGAAGAAAGTTGGCGAGCAGCGCCGACAAAGAGAGAGCCCTTCTCTCTCTTCCTCTTCTCTCTCTCTCTCTCTCCCCCTCCCTCTCTTCCTCCATTCCTCCCGCCCTCGCTCTTCCCCTCTCACTCTCTCACTATCTCTCTCTTTCTCTTGCATTCATAGCAAGACGAGAGAGAGAGAGATATTATATATATTAGTTATGTAGCTATATGTGTAAATACACGTACATAGCTGAGTAGCTAGAAAAGGAGGATATAGACGAAGAAATAGATGGACGCGTGGATTTTTTTTCCGGTGATAGATCGAGCGGCCGTACTCACCCTCCTGCGTGTCCATCTCCTCGACCTCGTTAACCTGAACGGGCGCGAGGCTGAGCTGCTTGAGGTTCTCCTGGTCGTTTACGTGGTTCATCGCGAAGCCGATGTTGATGGTCGTCTTGATGGCGCCGGGTACCTCGTTGACGGCCTCCGCCGTCGAGGTTACGTTGTCCGCGTTAACGAGCGCCTGTTCCTGCTGCTGCTGCTGCTGCTGCTGCTGATTGTTCTCCGCTGCTGGCTGCGTAGTCGCCAATGGTACACGCGGTTTCCGGTAAACGACGCGAGACGCCTTCCTGACCTGCACCGTAGTAGTCGACGACGTCCGATCCTGTTGTGGAGGTTGTTGCTGCTGCTGCGACGACGGCGGTGGCGGCGGCGGCGGCGGCGATTGCCGTTGCTGGCAATGCGATTGCTGCAACTGCGGCGACTGCTGCTGCTGCTGCTGCTGGTGCTGCTGCTCCGTTCCCACAATCACCCGGCCACTATCGAAGCCTACGTCGCTACCGGGACTCGACAGCGACGTCGCTTTACCGCACTCCGTCGATAGATGTTTGCTCGCAGTTCGCCCAATTTCTGCGGCCATCAAGTGCCCCCACTCGCACGGGGGACGCCCACAGCATATATTCCACCCTCGTGTTATTAAAACGCTAGGTACGCGACTCGAGTACCCGTGCTACCCGTACACGTACTCCCTTTCACGCGCCTCCGAGTGTCGCCGCGGCTATCTTCGTGGCGGCGGTGGCGACCACGACGGCGACCTCGTCCGTGACGATGTCTGCGGTGGTCGTGCTGCTGCCACTGCTGGTGGCGACGACGGCGACGGTGGTGTTGGTGACGGTGATGGTGTTAGTGGTGCTGGTGGTGGTGGTGGTTGTGATGGTGGTGGTGGCGGCGGTGGTGGTGGCGGTGGCGGCGGTGGCGGTGGCGGCGGCAACGACGGTCGTCTCGCCTCTCGTTCCGGCGCGGCGCCTCGCGCACCGACCTCCTCCCCCCTCCTCCTCCTCCTCCCGCGCACGGCCGATCCGTGAAAAACTGTTTCCGCTGCGCGCTTTACCGGCGCTCAGCGACGACGCGATCACAGACTACGTCGACGGCTACGTACGAGGACGACGATCGCGGACGACGTCGACAACGTCGCTCCGCTGCTCACTTCGCGTTCCTTCTCTCCCTCTCGCTTGCACGCCTTCCCTCCCTCTTTCTCTCTCGCTCTCGCTCGCTCTTCCCTCTCTCTCTCTCTCTCTCTCTCTTTCTCTCTCTCTCTCCCTCTCTATACTCTTGGCTATGCCTCGTCGCCGCTACGAATCTCGATCGGGGTTCACTCTGATTCTCGATCGACTCGGTCGCGACTTCCGGCTGCGAGCGCGAACCCACCTGTGCCCGTAGTCGTCGCGGCGGCTTCTCCTTCCCTACCCACTCTATCTCTCTCTTGCCAGCCCGTGGAGAGCCGGACGTTACTCGTACAGCACGGAACGAACACGCGCGGGCCGATCCCGTACGTCGCGATCGTCGCTCACGGATCTCTCTCTGTCACGCGAAAATAAACAAAATGGCGGCGAGTGCGGCGGCACGGCTGCGCGCGCGGTCGCGCTCGCACCAGCGCGGCTTCACGCACGCAGCCCGCGCGCGCACGCACACACACGCACGCTCGTGTGCGCGCGCGCGCGACGTTCTCCGTATACACGGCAGGCCACGAACTAGCTAAAATCGCGTAGAGCGCCGACTCGACGCGGCGCGGTGAACCGAGTCGGCGGATCGTCGCGCGGGCTCGACGTGAATTTCAAACTAATTAATTTCTGATTAATTTAATTGGCGAAATTGCTCGTCACGAAACCACATAATCCTCATTCTAATTATATAAACGGAAATTGTCGACAAAACCGTACAGACGTACGAATTAATCGTCGATTAACTACGTTGATTAATCGGCGATTAATTAATTTAACCGGCAGAGTCACTTAAAGCAATATATTTGCGAGTGTAATACAATTTCCAGATCTTCTTTTCTCGTATATTAAACGACAAATTGACGATTCTGCGTGTGACAGTCCGCAAAGTACTACGGTGAGCCAATCGTCAAGTTAATAAAAGCAGAGAGAAACCTGAGAGCGGCCACGCCGGCGTTTTACTTGGTACCGTTTCAAGAGACCGTTTTACGCCCATATTTACTTTCGGAACCATTTTGCTATGCATCTTCCGGCACTGCCGATAAAGTCACCACTTTGTGCGTGTCCGTGCTACGCCTATTTTTTTCAGGATCGTGCTGTGAAATTCAAAGTTACATTAACATAAGGTATCTGCATATTTACATCAACTTTTCCCGCGTAGACAATGTAAATTTTATAAATTAGATGTCAGAATGCGCGGCACAGACATGCACCAAGTGGAAATTTTATCGGCAGAGCCCGAAAATGCGTGAAATGAAATAGTTCCAAAAGTAAAAATGGGCGTAAAGGCGCGCAAAACAATCTCCCGAAACGGTATCAAGTGAAACGCTGGCGTGGCCGCTCTCAGATTTCTCCCTGATAAAACAAAATGTCGTATTCCCCTAAGTTAATTCTCCCTGTGCGTTGAGACGATTATAAAAAAAATGACAATTTTACCCAGATACAAATAAAATTGCACGATTTCTCGCGTCAATATGGCGGACATGAGAAAGCGGCGAGAAACGTGGCCGATCTCGTTAAAAATTTTCTCTCTCGCTGCAGCCGGGACGCAGCCAGCGAGAGAAAAACGTCGATGTTGCTCGTAAGTGACGCATACACGGCATATCGGTTGCTCCCTTCTTACGCGGGGGCGGCGAGGGACGAAGAGGGGAGATGCTCGCGAGTCGCGAAGGTCGTAGACGAGCGGAAAAGATTGAAGCGCTCGCGCACGTAGGCGAGCCCCGAGACGCCGAGCTCATCGTTCACTCGCATTACGGATCGTATTACATTGTTTCTCCTTTTCTCTTATCGATCTCGATGGGGGCTGCGGCGTCCGGGGCCTCGCCGTCGACGAGGCGGAGCACTAGATAAACGCGTTCGTTCGCGGCCGAGCGGGAAAATTCAAAACTGTCGGAATCGTGCTCGGTCACGACACATTAATAAGGGGGTCGACCCAGATAGCACACGTAGTTCTATGAACATTCTTCTGGAGCACAAATATTCTTAATTTCAGAATATTCCAATCGAACATTCTATAAATACATATACAGATTATTACAATTAGAAGTCGTATATTCGTAAAAAAGAAAAACGTTTTTAGAATATTCGCCGAGAATGTCTTTGGAATATTCATTCAGAATAATTTTTTAATATTCATCGAGTTTACGTATTGCGCATTGTTTATTGCGTAATACACTTATCTTATGCAAAAGGTAGTGAAACCAGTGGTCATACCATATACAGGGTGTCCCAGTTTAATGTCCCGCCCCAAATAAATTTTTTTATTTTTGATCGCAGAAAAAGACGCTTCAGACAAAAGTTGTTGAGGTATATATGCCTCGGTGGTCGAATTGATTGAGACGCCCGCCTAGAGAGAAGGGAGATCCAGGTTCAAACCCTGGCTGAGGTAATATTTTTCGCAATAAATTTTCTATATTATAAAAATTGCCAGATACGGTCAATAAAAATCACTGATGATTTCAAATATTCTTGAAGAATATTCTTAAAATGTTCATAGGAGTGTCTTGTACTATGTGCAAGTTCTGTATCTTACAATATAGTGAAAAAGTGAACGACTTTGACTCTTTCTACGGGGACATTCACTTTTTAGCATTTTTACTATAGCGTAAGATACAGAAGTGAGCCCCTGGGGCGATGACCCGCAGATGCAAAAGAAAGGAGGGACGACTGTGGAAATCTCGACAACGCGGTGGATTTGAACTGTTTATTTAAACGTACAAGCACATGCTGAACAATAGTCAGAGTACATTCAAATAGAATTTCCTGTCATTCACCAATCGTCACGAGAATTCAATTCTCGTCCGGACAGGCGCGTTCGTGTATCCCCTCGTACACGGCGCGATGAAAGAGAGTTCGTGTATCTTGTTCATTTTTTGCGTCGTGTCACCTGTGCGCTTTCGAGCCGCAATCGTTTTTTTTTTTAATTAGATGTACGCTGTATTCCGATAACAGGACACCGCTATGTACAAAATCCGGCGACGGGATCCGACTATCTTTTCGGGTTTGTAAAGGAGAGGCAAAGTCTAAAGTGTGAAACATGAAGGAGGAAGGGGAATTTTTTTTTTAATAAAAAAGTGCCAAATGTACGCGTCCATCAAACACGAACTGTTCTACGAAACTACTTTGTTTTATGCCGAATAAAATGTTTGTGAAAAATAAATTATACAAAAGTGCTCTAATATATATCCAAGGAAAAGTATAAGGCAATTATATTGCATAAACTTCTAACTGATTTTCGTATCGGTAAAAACGCATTTTGTCATTTTAGATTTTCCCACTCCTTTAAAACTGACGCGAGAAGATCGTCAGATTCGACTGCCGGATCTCGCACGTTTGAAAATGTATCACAGTACAAGAGTTTCAAGATAGCTCTAAAAGGGGCAGGTAGCATTATTCAGAGCATCGCACTACAAGAATAAAATATTCAAAGAAGGAATCTTGCTGTGCATGCGTCAAACCATTTTTACTTAAACGCTCACTTGAAGTAAATCCATAAGTTTCAGATTGATTATAAATACAAGAGGCGATGAATAATCTATGTTGTGCACGGCTGCGTACAAGAGCTTCGCAATACTCGGTCACCGCTTCATTTCGCTCTCGATGAGACAATCAACATGTCGCAGGCCAAATTACATTTACTGAAGTATACGTTCGCTTTCCGAGAATTTTTATTCAAATGACTGCAACATAGATTATTTATTGCACCGCCTTTTCTCTTTTGACTCTAATCGAAGCGGAGAGATCTGAATTAAATATAATGTCAAGAGAATTGCACGCGCACAGAGATCGAGAGTACACAATTACATATGTAACGATTTAAGTAAGGCATGATTAAGGCAACCTGCTCGGCAGACTTAAAGATCTTGACCCCGACAGTATTTTATTTTTCTTTTTAGTCTCGCTTCATTGTAGAAGACTCAGAAACAGTAAAGGATGTGTGTGTTTTTTTTAGGCACCTCGTTTGGCAACCTGTCTACGCGATTACAAAGAAGAAGTTATCACAAGTCGCTGAAGTATGCACTTTTGATGCATGACACGAAATGCCTCTATCAAGACACATAGAAGTACCTTTCCAATTTGAGATTAATTCTTTGATTATTTGTTCGGAGCGCGCGTACTCCACAATTGTGTCGCGACCTTTTGAATGTTTCGCTCGTAATCGAATAATAGACTACACCTTACGCCCTTACGACGCAAGCGATAAATCATCGAATCACACAGCTTCCTTAAGATACTTACAGTTCAATATCGCTTATCGCCTAGACATGTAGCACATCATATATCTGTCTTTTTTTTAATACTTTACGTTTTCATTAGGTATAAGCACTTTCTTCTCTATTAAACATTTATACACGTTTTATAATATTTAATGGAACTTTTTAAGCGTACTAGACACCACTCCAAATGTTTTGTCGTGGAGCTCAATTTTTATATATAGTTCATCTCAGTAACATATAAATATAATTACACTATCTTGTTAATAATTTGCATATTGCTTTTTTTGTCGAGCAGCATTCCTTGCTACTGTTCTTCTTTTCCAATTAGTACATTAGAGAGAAGAGAGGAATATACAGCACTCCCTAGATACATGACATATTGTGTCCATTTTATGTATTAGATATAAATTTCTTGAAAATAGTGTAAAATATAAGACGATCAAAACATAACAACAAAACAAATTCATCATGAACACATAACAAAATCATAACAATCGTAATTGAATCGCAACATATGCATTTGTACTTAAGAAATCGTGTAAACTTTCAATATTTATAGCTAAAATAAATAGTGTAAATAGAAGTTCACAATTAATGATTTAAAAATTATATAATGTGACTACAACTTTTATCACATATCATACATTTATGCTGTTTAGTAAAGTATTGTTAGCATAGCAAACGTTAGCTCTAATACTGGTATAGACACCTTACTTGTGCATACATCATTATTGTGTAACAATATTGAGTTTGGGGTTTTATAATTAGCCATGATTTGCCATTATTATCAATACCTACAACAAAGTAGAAGTAGGGCATCTCCTGTTATCAAGGAGTATTATCTTTTAACGCTATAGACTATTTAAAACTGACAACACAACACTATTTAAAACGACAATGCTATTTAGTTGCTAATGTAGTTATTACACGTACCTATAACGCTCAAGGAAAGATATGTTCTACCGTATTAAAACTTTTTTTAAGACTTGACACAATGGGTGGTCCCAATAAATAAGAATATAATCAATTAATAAACGAAAGTATCTATCCTGTGACTGTTAATTCTCTATCGTATTGGCCCGACAGTTTGGTCTATAATTTGTATTACGTCTAAGTTAAACATAAAAGCTAGATTATTCGTCTCGTAAGAAATTCGGCCTGTCGATTGCTATATATTTCATTGGTAGCAGCAAATTAGAAATAAATTCCTAATATTTAGGAAATTATTTTAGAATACTATGTAAATTTTTGCAATTTAAAAAAATGTTTGAGATACATTAGTCAAGTTACAGTTTTTGATAGACACTGCAGAGTTGCTATAAAAAATTTCTCTAACAAAACTCGCAGTGTTACAAAAAGAACGTTACCTTTGTAACATTTTAATGTCAGCCACGTAAAGCCAAATAACATTTTACCTAATGTGTGTGGCACAATACGAATGTCGGGGACTTACCGACGATACATTTATAAAATCTTTAGTTAGCCTCATCTAACAATAAGTCTTCTTTCACTAAACGAGCGATTTATTCCACGGCTTGACTAGATCTTTACGGTGTTCACTGGTAATTGTAGTCTATTATACAAATCTTACTAGAAAAGTGTTTCCCGTCACCGCTATAAAAAATGGACAGACTTAGCAAGTACATAAATCGTACAAAAGAAACGTGGCATCTGTCGCAAGAACGATACAAAGCGATCATTCTTTCATATTTCTGCCTGACTAAAAAAAAAAATAAAAACAAATCTCCATCTATGAATACATTACCCATCCCGCGAATACGCTCGCGGTGGCCTCGAATTTCTTTACTGGATCGAACAAACTTTTGAAGTTCCCAGAGAATCGTCCATCGCCGCCGCACGCCTTCTGATACCTTCCAAATACACCTCGCGATTGAAAAGTCCAGCACCAAGCGGAATTCTAAAAATAATAGTGTACATATAGATTGCATGTTATCTGGTGCATGCATGGATTTCAGCTATATGGCCATCGTCACTTGAAACGTCAATAAATAACAGACAACGTACGTGTCGATACCCGGCCTCAACGTGGTTTTAAAAACTCCCCAGACCGGCTTGTGATCTGAGGTGCAAATACCCGGAACGGAATCGTACACCAAGCACTCTATGACCCCGTCCTTATGCGAATTAGAAACCTCGTGGCTGACGCGCCTGATGTATCCTCTGGTGTGGCTTTTCCCCTTGAAGAGAATCCTGTCGGTGTACGCGGGCGTGCGTTGCTTGCTGCTGGAATCAAAATTCTGCGTTCCCGGATCGTACTTGTAGGTGGGAGGGAACATGATCGCGGCTTCTTCGAAACCGCGCAACACCGCGCCCTCGTTTAGGATACTTTTCAATTGATCTTTGTGCATGTTTATCGGCGATTCTTGCGGAAAACACGTATTCGTGATCCACTGAATCACCTCCTCCCTCGGCTGAGACAGACGGAAGTTCAGATCACCGCACCAAAACACGCAATCGAAATTTTGCGTGACATCTGTGAAAAAGTGCGATGCATATGTATTTATTGTGCAATACGCAAACGCAAGACCGTACGAAGTATAACGCTTAATACCTTTGCTCTTGTGCCTGGTGGGTAGCTCTTTGGGTAGCTCAAGGTTTCTAACGATTCTCTTGATATCGTTGACCCGTTCTTTTACCTTATCTTGATGCGCGGTCAAGTGTGCGGTGACGAAGAGAAAGCTGGTGCCGAATATCATGAGAGCTATCGCCACCGCGCCCTTCGTTCTGAACGCCGTTCCGGTTCTCGTCGAGAAGCTGTCCTCCTCCGGGATGGAGCAGAACCAAATCAGGTCCCGTCTTATAAATAATGCGAGGTGAAGCGTACCGAGATTACTGCTGGTCAACAGCACGTGCGAAGGGCCGAGGGTCTCCTGCAGAGCGGCTTCCCACTCGTTACGTTCGGAACACGACTCTTGAGTTCCTATAGCTAACAAATCGGGAACGGTCTCTATGTCGCACGGCAACATAAAATCGTTCAGCTCCTTCGGCGGAACCTGGCCGTTCATGTTCCACGTTCCAATAAAAATTTTCAATTCCCGATTAGGCAACACTTTCTCAAGCTCCACTGACCCGAGCAAGGAATTGGCGGCGATTCTTCCGTGAAGAAAGTTCCTGCGAAATTCAAATTGTTACAGCCACCTGATGAACAATTGCGCCGGATAATTCTCTTAAAAGGAAAATATACCTTTCCCGTGCCTTTTGAGTAGGAATTAAATTAAGCACTTGTGCAGCAAGTAACGATTGCTTTGCTAAGCTATCCATAGACGCTCCTGTACAAAAGTAACGGTCTTTCTGTTTCGACAGAGCATCGTGGGACGTTGACCGTGGCTTATGCTGGATCGGTGCACTTCTAATAGAGTCCGGACTAGAGTGTCTCATAGAGTTTGTAGGTGAGTTCACGATCAAGTTATCCGCGGATCTCCTGTGAAGCAATCTACGACGTAATTGTCCCGATATACTCGGCGACAGCGATCCGGAAGAGGAGTTTTCACCTGAAACAGCATGGAATCACATATTACGCATGGGGATTCTGTCGGCGGTACTCGTGCATCGTAATTGTGCTAAGAAAGAAAAAAAAAGAATCATCCATTATTTCAAAAGCAAAGAACATACATTGACGGAAATATACTTCGTGCCTAAAAATTAGTCTCGTAACGAGATTACGGCATTCCGTAATGGAACCAAATTGCCTCAATTGCCGCCTACTACAAGTCTTGGCGCTAACACGTGCAGATTCGTAACACGATGAAATTTATGAGATTTATCAACATTCAGCTCAGCATAAACGCGAACACCTTGAACTCGTCTCTTTGCTGTGATTGAACATGTTTCGCGTGAGTACGTCGGCAAAGCCAATTTAATTGTTTGATTAATAATATATTTGGAACTAGAACAGAGCCAATGCTACAGGAAAATTGAATCAAGCAATTTGTCAGATTAACTTTAAGTGGTCGTACTTCTAACTCCAACACAGGCAGCCCATGTCTCGACTTATACAGTAACCCAGTAAACACCGACCAACAGTTACGCAAACATCAACATTACAATCTCCCACTCAACAATAGAAATGTAACGTGTATCGCACATAACAGTTGCATCGCTGAGTAGAAAATTACAGTATTATGTAATAAAACTGTTAGTTGGTATTTACTGGGACAGATCTAAAGCCTACGTGAAATTATCCTATTAGATATATATATATATACATATTTCCTAGCGTTCTATATTAATTAGGAAAAATGAAGAGATATGTAAAGTACAAACAATTATAGCTGCGCACAAGCAACATCACAGCCCCAAACGTATGCCTGTACTTGACATTTATGTTTCTAATCTAATCTAGACATAAAATAACTGCATATCTCTTAAATAGAACTAACGTATGTATACAAAACACACATACTGCCAATTTAATAAATTTCTCTTTGACAATAAATACTTGAAAGAGAAAAATTTAATATCCCGCGAGAACAAAATGTAAAATGCTAGCCAAAAAAAAAGACACACAAAGTAATTGTAAGTTTTAAGCAGCGCATAAATTTCGTATATCGTTTGGTACCTTCTTTCTCTGGCTTTTCTAAGCAGCTATCATGATACTGAACCATACTGTAAACATCGGTAGGATTGGAGAATTGCCGTTCCATTTCCAGGAAGAAATACGTGATATATTTCCCCTTTGTAAAGTACTCATCCTTACTGTATACTCGAGCTTTCTCAGACTCAATCAGACGTTCGTTCTCGTCTTCTGAAGTTTCTTCGAATGAGTCTTCCGTCGAGTCTGCAGAGAAGTCACTATCTTCACTACTCTCTTGAGAAATCGCCTTCGTTTCTCTTACTAAATATTTGCGCGTGTCGCTCGTGATTTCGCTAGCATTATCGAGGGACTGTAACACCGCGCTTTTAGGGCCGTAACTTTTCGCTCCGCTATCGTGATGCATTGTCCCAGCATCTCCCGGAGCCGGCCGGGAACTTACGCCTATACCGTTATCCTGTTTTAGAAAAGCAATTTTTGTACTCATATGTCTGTCCGAGCCTAAATTGAGGTCCCCCTGCTCGTCCTTCGCGGCATTAAACTTGCGACGCTTTTCACTCGTATCGTCACCTACATTTTTGGGAGGCCTGGGAGGCCTGGCACTTTCACTCCTCACCGCGCTCTCGCGATTCTCCCGCGTGTCCAACAAATTCTTATCGCTACGCTCCACCGCGCCGGGCGAATCAACCCTCGGACAAATTTCACCGTCTTGCGAGCCAGCGTTCTGGCCGGAGCGACGAGATGCACCTCCCGACTGATCCATCTGGCCGCTACCGAATACTATTTTCTGCTTATAAACGTCCGGCTGTTCGTCCAACTCGTTGTCTCTCCTCTTAAATACTCTACGTAACTTGTGAAAAAAGCTCTTCTTCCGTTCCCTACTCGGGTCTGACATTTCCGATGAATCGCCCGCGCTCGCAACGACCGAGGCAAACAGTGCTTCAAACGATAAGGCTATCAACTAAACTCCACGTCTACAACGGCTTTACATATATATCGATAACACTGGAAGCGTTCTATCCCGCTCCGTACGCACGGCTCTAGAATGTAAGGTGGAGGGGACGCGCAAGGTCATCATCAAACCGTATTACACACAATACGCATGGAAAGAAAAGGAGTGCCGTCCATTTGAAATTAGATATGAGGTAATTGATGTTTTTTCCTTTTTTTTCAGATTCCCCTCCTCTGCGTCACGTTTTAGAATAAATTAGCAACCGTTGTGCCGAGTGCTCGCCGCTAGTCCGTTTCCTAAATGTCTAACTGCCGCGGGACGGGACGTTCCTAATGCGAATTCTGATCCCGGTTTTCACCGGCGTCGCTTAACTTTGATCCTGGTTTAGTTCGTCCTTCGCCTCTTCCTAAAACCCAATCTGCAATACGTTCTTTCCGAAACATTCTATTTTATATAAGCGAATCAAAGCGCCTACAAAATCTTGCCGACAACGTACGATTGTGCAATTTGGCAACTTGCGCAGTTTCCAAACGTATTTATTGGCTACAAAATAGAATGTTCCTGGACGCAAAGGGCGTTGTAGATTAGGGGCCAGTTTCACAAACATCGGTTAACCCTGTTAACTAGGATTCAGTCGACATCCTATCTTTTCTATCTTGTTCTCTAAGAAGAGACAGAGAATCAGTGAATCTTCGGTTAGCAGTTAACCGACCTTTGTGAAACTGGCCCTAGGCCCGGTTGCACCGACATTGCGTAACTTCAACCTTAGCTCAATTTCTCTCTTCCTCTGTTTCCCGAGGGGTAAACCGTTGACCAAAATCATGTATGTATGTGCACCAGTGCCTACTAGAGCCTGTATCAGACTACGGGCTGAGATTGAGATTAGAGATTGGTAAACTTTACTGTGATTGGTCAAATGTCTTACTTTATCTTATGTATCATGCTTTATCTTATTTTATCTCTATAATCCCAGATAACACATAGGACGGTATTCCAAGGCTGCGGTCAAGCTGTCGCTTCGAATGTTACGAAGTATTCTTCTTCTCTTTTCTTGCAGTAAAGATAGAAAGAGAGGAGAAACGCTTCGAAGCATTTATAGCGGCAGCTTGACCGTAACCATAGTCAGGTCTTCTATTCAAGACCGTCTTGAATTCATCTAAAGATGCTGTGTGGAACATTTCATTGGCTACGGAGTTTCTAAAGATGATCTTAAGACGGTCTTGAATATAAGATCTGACCACGAATACCGGCTACAGTTCTATGAATATTCTTTTGGAGTGCAAATGTTCTTAATTTCAGAATATTTTCCAATCGAATATTCTATAAATAAATAAATATATATATATAATAGATTATTACAATTAGAAGTCGCATATTCATAACAAGGAAAGAACGTTTTCAGAATATTCGTCGAGAATGTCTTAGGAATATTCGTTAAGAATAATTTGTTTAATATTCATCGAGTTTATGTATTGCACATTGTTTATTGTGTAATACACTTATCTTATGCAAAAGGCAGTGAAACCTGTGATCATACCATGTATAACCGACACGCTATATTCGATGGATTATTCTATTCACATTTGAAAAACATTTATAGTGGTGGCCAGTCGAATATTCTACGAACATAAGATAATTATATAAGAATGACCTATGGAATATCCCAAATATTCTTGAAGAATATTCTTAAAATGTTCATAGGAGTGTCTTGTGCTATCTGGGATAGTCTAGTTTGCACCGATCATTTAATACGCGTATCAAATAGTGTATTTCAGCCGATCAGATAATGACTAAATCTATATTTACTAGGTATTTACTATTTGATACGCGTATCAAATAGGGCTCGGATTTTATTCCGTTCTTCGAATAAACGTTTAAACGTGAAACGTTTATCCGTTTACATTTTCTTCCAGAAAAACGTTTATTTGTAGAAAAAGGTTTACACGTTTCAACGTTTACTAAACGTTTAGTAAACGTTTAATAAACGTTTACACGTATATTAAAGCCTAATAAACGTTTAAACGTTCGTTAAGTAAAAATACATGTATTCGGAAAAACGTTTCTAATAAACGGATAGCTAATTATACGTATAAACGTGTTTCCATTTAAACGTATAATAGCGAGCCCTGGTATCAAACAATCGGTGTAAACTAGGCCAATGCAAGGCTTAGCCGTAGACATATGTATACTAGACTACGCCATTTCTATGGACGCCACTGCCCTAAACATTGCAGACGTATCAAAAGAGTCATGATATCTCTCTCTCTCTCTCTCTCTCTCTGGCTCGCTCAGCGTTACGAGTGGGGAGGAAAAGTTGTAAACCAATTGGTTTGGTCGTTTTCCTTACAAAAATTCGCAAAAATCACCCTACTTTAGGCCTCGTCACACCAGCAAGACCCCTTAAGGCCTGTGTCCATGATGCTACAACTATTCCGTAAAAGCTGCAAGTCGAATGGCTACACAGTTTCTCGAAACTAGCCCTCGGACCAAGTTCCAGCGTCGTGGACACAGGCCTTTAAAGCCTCCGCTACAATGATTCTCGGTTCTGTCTACAATGGTCGTA